TTTATGTTGTCTTGGTTGGTCATAGCTTTTCTTCCAAGGAGCAAGCATCTTTTAATTTCATGCTTGCAGTCACCATCTGCAGTGATTTTGGAGCCCAAGAAAATAAACTCTTTCACTGTTTTTCCTTTGTTTCCCCATCGATATGCCATGAAGTGATGGGACTAGATTTCATAGTTATACTTTTCCCCCCCTTAGTCCTTTGAATCAATAGAAAGGCTTTCACATCATTTCTATAGGCTATGCTATTGAATTTCTGCAAATAAATAATAATCATTCTTTTGAGAAGTAAAAGCAATCTATAGCTTTTCTTTGAAGTTCTATCTTTACTTGTATAGAATTGTAAGAATTATATAAAATTCTTTAAGTGTTTGATAGAATTCATCATTGACCCCGGCTGGGTCTGGTGCTTTTTGTTTTGGAAGATTACTAATTATTTATTCCATTTCTTTAATAGATATAGACTTATTCAGATTGTCTGTTTCTTGTGTGAGTTTTAGCAGGTTGTGTTTTTTAAGAAATTGGTCCATTTCACCTGGATTATCAAACTTGTGGTCATAAGAATGTTCATAAAATTTCTTTGTTACCTTTTTAGTGTCCATGGGATCTGTAGTAGTGTCCCCTTTTGCATTTCTGATATTAATTTATGTCTTTTTTTGTGTGTCTCACGTCCTGGCATGTGGAACCTCCTTGACCACGGACTGAACCAATGCCCCCTGCAATGGAAGCACAAAGTCTGAACTACTGGACAAACAGGGAATTCCACACCCCCCAACACCCGCCTTTTTTTTTGAAACTTAACCTGCCCAGAGGTTTCTTAGTTTTATTTATTTTTTAAATAATTAGCTTTTAGTTTTGTTGATTTTCTCTATTGATTTTCTGTTTTCCAATTTCATTGATTTCTTCTCTAATTTCCATTATTTCCTTTCTTTGGATTTAATTAGCTCTTTTTTTAATTCCTAAGGTGGAAGCTTTGATTGTTGATGTTGGTTATTTCTTCTTTCCTAATACATGCTTCAGTGCTTTAAATTTCCCTCTAAGCACTAACTTGCTACACCCCACACATTTTGATAAGTTGTGTTTTCATTTAGAAATATTTTGAAATATTTCATTTAGAATATTTTTAGAGGTTCTCCTAAGACTACTTCTTTTATCCATGTGCTGTTTTAAAGTGTATTTCTTTTTTTTTTTTTTTTGAAGTTTTACCTTTTATTGTGTTCCATTATACAATTTTACACAGTACCATTAATATTTTAAGCAACAATTAAGCAAATCGAATTAAAGTTTTTGAGCTCTACTTCTCAGTATATAGATTTACCTAAAAAAGCTCCCAAGTATTTTAGCTTTTTCTAGCTATTGTTTTGTTACTGTTTTCTTGTTTAATTCTGTTGGGTCTGAGTGTTTCCTCTATATGACTCCTGTTCTTTTAAGTTTATTAAGGTGTGTTTTATGGCCTAGAATGTTGTCTATTTTGGTGAATGTTCCATGTGAACTTGAAAAGAATGTATTTTTCTGTTGGAAAAATGTCAGTTTGATCTAGTTGACTGAAGGTGCTGTTCACCACATTTATTTATTTATACCATTTATCTCATAGTCTTCTTTCAAAGTAGTTTGGCATTTCAATTAATTTAAAGGATACTTAAGATTGTTGTTGTTTTTAAACCACTTGCTAGCTTTTTGGAGTAACTCTTGTGTTTAGTTCCTCTAATTACCCTCATTGGAAGCTCTTAGGCAAAGGGTGATCCATTTCTTGGACCAGAATAGCCCAATTGCTGTACAGTTCTTAGGTTTAGCACACCAGTTTGATATTTAATCAAAAGGCCCAGAACAATTACTTTTATAGGACTTTTTAGTTTAAAAAAATGCTTTTTTGCACTACTTAATTCTAACACCCAGCCAGAAAGTTACTATTTTTCCTTCATTCTCAAATGAAAATTTTCTATCATAAATATCTTTTCAATGAGAATGCATTTTGTAACTGATGGCATGTTATAATTTAATCGATAGGGTTTTTTCCTTTTCTTATTGGTATATGAAATAATGGTTTATTTTGCTGATCTATTGAGTCTTAGAATTGACAAAATACTGTATTAATGTTATTATTGTTGTTATTATTATGCTAACTTGCAGGTGAAGAAACTAATGCCCAGAAGCCTAAATGATGGATACAGAATCAAACAGCTAACATATGGTTAAGCTCAAAGTAGCCTTTGATATCAAGGGCTTATTTTTCCCCCCATTGTATCAATAGTTCTCAAATTTAAATGTTATAAGAATTATCCAGGGAGATACATGGTCCAGAAATTTAGATTAATATGTCTAGGGTAGGGCTCAGGAATATGCCTTTAACAATCCTTCTTTCCTGCATTTCTTAGAAGGGTTAAAAATACCCTTTGAGAAGCCCTGCATTATATGTTTAAGGATCAGCTCAAATGCAGACTTGCTGATAGCTCTAGCTGACACAATGCCATTAGGAGCAGCGCCCTTCAAGTGTTTATTAGTGACAAGGATAGAGAACTTGATATTATTAATAAGTCTAAGAAGACCAAGAACAATGTTATGTGGTTGTGTAATCCCACAAAGCTGCCCTGGCAGATCAGATATACTACTCTATGACAGAGGCTGGCTATAGTTGTCTTTATTTAAATATTTTTTATTTTTAAAGGAAATTTAAAAATTATTTTTTAAATTGGGGTTAGTTACTTTACATGGCTGTGTCAGTTTCTGCTGTACAGTGAAGTGAATCAGCCGTAATGTACACACACATGTATCCCCTCTTCTTCTGGATTTCCTTCCCATCTAGGTCACCACAGCGTTCCCTGTGCTGTGCAGGAGTTTCTCATTAGTGATCTATCTGATACAGCACTTGTCTTTAATGGTGCTCTATGGGCTGTAACTCTCAGGTAAATACCAGTGCAGCCTATTTGCCGTCCTCTGCCCTCGGCCTTTTGAACAGTATGTGTGAATTTAAAGGACAAGGAACTTTCTTTTTTTTTCCTACAGTTGACTCCTTGTAAATGTCACTACTTTTGCACTTTCTTTTGCTTGACTGTTTTGTTTTCGTGTGGAATGTGAGCTGGTTGCTGCTGGAGGGACTCCTTCCTCTTTGCTCAGCACTCTCGGATGGAACATTTGTTGAGGTGTGTCTTTGACATTATTGCTGCAGTCCATGGGGTCACACAGAGTCGGACACGACTGAGCAACTTCACTTTCACTTTTCACTTTCATGCATTTGGAGAAGGAAATGGCAACCCACTCCAGTGTTCTTGCCTGAAGAATCCCAGGGACGGGGGAGCCTGGTGGGCTGCCGTCTATGGGGTCGCACAGAGTCGGACACGACTGAAGCGACTTAGCAGCAGCAGTGGCAGGGTAGATGAGGAGGGCATGGCAGCCCACTCCAGTATTCTTGCCTGGAGAATCCCCATGGACAGAGGAGCTGGCGGGCTACAGCCTATGGGGTTGCAAACAGTTAGATACGACTGAGTGACTAAGCACAGAACAGTGCAGGATAGCTAGTTATTATTGTTTATTAATTTATTATACTTCAGTGTCATCTAGAAAAAGATTTCACATCATAATTTCTGTCTCTTCCATGAAACTTTTTGCCTATAGGACTACTACTGTTGTGTTCTCACATCATTCCTACCACGTTAGGCTTATTTTCCAGACTCCATTTTTTTGGCATTTCACTCAGTTCAGTCTCTCAGTCGTGTCTGACTTTTTGTGACCCCATGGACTGCAGCACGCCAGGCTTCCCTGTCCATCACCAACTCCTGGAGCTTGCTCAAACTCATGTCTATTGAGTCGGTGATGACATCTGACCATCTCATTCTCTCTCATCCCCTTCTCCTTGTGCCTTCAATCTTTCCCAGCATCAGGGTCTTTTCCAATGTCAGCTGTTTGCATCAGGTGGCCAAAGTACTGGAGCTTCAGCTTCAGCATCAGTCCTTCCAATGAGTATTCAGGACTGATTTCTTTTAGGATTGATTGGTTTGCTCTCCTTGCAGTCCAAGGGACTCTCAAGAGTCTTGCTCCAACACCACAGTTCAAAAGCATCATTTTTCAGCACTCAACTTTCTTCGTAGTCCAACTCTCACATCCATACATGACTATTGGAAAAACCATAACTTTGATTAGATGGACCTTTGTTGGTAAAGTAATGTCTCTGCTTTTTAATATTTGCTGTCTCAGTTGGTCAGCTTTTCTTCCAAGGAGCAAACGTCTTTTAATTTCATGACTGTAGTCACCATCTTCAGTGACTTTGGAGCCCAAGAAAATGAAGTCTTTCACTGTTTCCATTGTTTCCCCATCTATTTGCCATGAAGTGAATTTTGGCATTTGTTCTTATTTAATTTGGCAATTTTATTAATTAAAGGATTATTTGTAGTTACTGCTTTATCACTGAACAGTAAATTTCAGTTGGTTGTTGTTTAGTCACTAAGTTGTGTCCAATTCTTTTGCGACCCATGGATTGTAGCCACCAGGCTCTTCTGTCCATGGGATTTTCCAGGCAAGAATACTGGAGTGGGTTGCCATTTCCTCCTCCAGGGGATCTTCCTGACCCAGGGATTGAACCCACATCTCCTGCATTGGCAGGAGGATTCTTTACCACTGAGCCAACAGAGAAACCCTAAATTTCAGATTGACAGAATCTAAACCAAATAGTTATCATTATTTTGACTGAAAAACAGATTTGTATACTGAAGTGGTAACTTTAAAAGAGTGAGACTAATTCCGGTGTTGTTTATCAGAGTTGCTCAGCACTGGCTCATTTGGAAAATGTGTCACTGTGTGCCTTAGCCTTGTGGGGGTGGGAGGGGTTAGAAGGTCAGCCTCTTGAGAAGCCTACTTTAAAGGCTTTTAGAAAAAAATCTTAAAATTGTCCTTTTGAGTCATCTAGTCATAAATAATAAGGCAGCATTCTTGAATTAATGCACCTTTGCAGTGGAAATGATTTGAGTGTGTGGGAAATAGTTCTGTAACTTCCTGACTTCTTTCCACAGGCCATTTTGCAACCTGTATTGGCAGCAGAAGATTTTACTATCTTTAAAGCCATGATGGTCCAGAAAAATACTGAAATGCAGCTGCAAGCCATTCGAATAATTCAAGAGAGAAATGGTAAAAGGTTGAATTTAGAAATCTAAGTGCTAAGTGCATTTTGTTTTGGTGTTTTAACTAATATGATCTTAACGTTGCTGCTTTGTATAAATTTATTTCAAGTTTGAAAATCTAGGGCTGACACTTAAGAGATACTAGAGTGTAAACTTCCTGATAACTGATTGGTTGACATCTCAAAGAAAGCAGACCAGAGTTTGATTTAACGTTTCAGGTTTCAGAGAGTTTGGTTTTTCTGCTCAGCCATCGTGTTTATGGAAGTCAGTATTTTTGAGTGGTCACACTTTCAGTTACTGTTGAGTGTACAGTTACTTTTTCCCTTCTGGCTTATAGAAGACAGTGGTTCTCAAGTTTTAGTGAGCAATTAGAAGCAGTTGAGGGCTTGTTGAAACACATGCATGTGCCTGTTTATGACTCAGTAGGTCTGGAGTGGGGTCTAGTACTTTGTATTTTTAAGGTGTTCCTAGCTGTGGCTGAAGCTGCTGGTCTTGGGGTAGCGCTGAGAACTAGGGCATGGGCGGACAGCATTGTGCTGCCGTCAGGTGGAAGAGAAAGCAGAGCTCACGGTCCTGGTGGCCGCCTTCTCTTTATCTTTTCCTTAATTCTCTACCTGAACTCAGTTTTTTCCTACCTCTTCCTGCTTTTCTTCCCTTCCTGTGTACTTGAACTCTACTTGACATCTTGATTCAAAACATCACACTGTAACCATACTTCTTATTACTTTACTATCTCTTTTTCAACCCAGATGCATATCTAAGTTTCCCATTTCGGACTCTAGTGATCTTAATACCTGTGTATTCCTTTGCTTAATAGATTGCCACGGATGTTCCTTATCATGCCTATATACTGTCTGATGGTTTGGCAGCCGGGTCTTTGCTTGTTTCTTGAGCATATTAGAGCTATAGTTTAGTTGTACTATTTGCTTTTAAGGGTCTGGAATATGCAGCAATAAGGCTTCTGTTGTTACGTGGCAAACATTAGACTGTTGGAGGGTCTCTTGTGGGTTAGACTGTTGTGGGTTCTCCTCTCATTTGTCTGAGGTGAGTAAAGACCATACTCTTAGAGCCAACTACCATCATATCTATTCTCTCAAATGCATTTCACAGCAGGAAAGAGCTGTTGTCCGTGATGTGGAGATAAAACCACCCTAACCCTGAACAATGCATGACACAAAACTGCTGTTTTTGTGTGAAGTTTGGAAAACCGTCTCTTTCTTTTCGTTTCTCTACCATGGTTTGCTTCATAAGATCCTTTTCTCTTGTGTTTTCCTGTAACTGTGCTTTTTATTCTGACCTATAGGATAGAGAATCTGAATAATTACTTTGTGTTATTTCACATTGCTTTAGGGGATCTTTTGATAAAAGAAATAGGGAACTTGATAATGGCACTCTGCAGTTTTTAGAATTTAACTGGAAATAAGATTTTAATGAAAAGAGAACAGGTAACCATAGCTTGTATCAGCTGGGAACCTCAAGTCGCCATTAGCAGAATACATCAGAGAATATGGCCTAAGCAATAAGAAAAGATCATCTCACAGAACCAGAAGCAGAGGAAGGGAAGGAAGACAGACAGGTCCAGACTTGGTTCATTTGGTGGCTCAGTGATGTTTTCAAGAGCCCCAATACTTTTCCACTTTTACTCTGCCATTCTTAGGGTCTTCTCTTATGATTGCACTCGAGCTTCATTGAGTGCACACTCAACAATATCTCATGAAGAAAAGCGGGGCTTCTTCCTGTACATCTCCTTTTATAAGCAAGACAACACATTCATGGAAGCCCCCTAGGAATTTTCCTCTCAGGGCCTATTGGTCAGGATTGGATTCACATGGCTTTCTAAACCCTCTGGCAGGGTGAATTGAGACCATGGTGATTGGCTTAAATCATGACTCACTTTTTTGGGGTGGGGTTGGGCCCTGCCTCTAAGTACTTGGCTGCCTGGTAGCTGCACACAGATGGCTTCTATTAGCAAGGGAGGACCAGGGAAATGATGTGAAATAATGCTGCAGTCAAACCACAGGGTGGGACAGTTTGCTTACATTTAAACATAAACTAATACTTAGTTTCTGCCACAGAACTTTTGACACTTGGATTTAAGTATCTCATTTAACATAAATCGAGGGGAAAGTACCTTAGAACAAAGTTGATTGTACTCAAAACTGCAGACTGTTTGTGTGAGAAAAATTCAAAGGCTCTCAGAATTCTGGTTGTATCTTATCAAAGAATTTTGGGCAAGTGCAAATCAGAGCAATATTTTGATGGTTTTGAAGTATTGCATACTGTTGTTTTATTCTTTCCTTAGTTTTTAAGATTTTCCTTCGAAAGATCAATAAGAGAATACTATTTATATAGCTTTTGACTAAGCAAAAATGCACTTAAGATCAGTGGGTTATATAGAAGTCAGTTTTCTGGTTGTGATACTTATACTACAGTTTTGAAAGATGTTTCATTGAGGGAAACTGGGTAAAGAGTGCATAGCATCTCTGTGTTATTTCTTACAACTGCATGTGAATCTGCAATTATTTCAAAATGAAAAGTTTAATTTAAAATGCACTTAAACATCAAGGGCATTAGAGTAATAACGCTACTTTAATTTAGAGCAGATACAAAATCCGATCATCATATATGAATATGAAAGGTAAATATTAGGGGATATACTGTTAATGTTTTGGGAATATACTAATTATGGATAAAAGCAGAACACTTATTGCCATCTACCTGCTTATCAGGAAGATATAGGTAATAAAGTAAATTAAACCAATACTTAAAATTACTTGCCATGAATTACTCTTTGCCTTGGGCCAAAGTTGGTACTGCCCTAGTTTATAGTTATTAGCCCAGTATCTGAATAGATGATCTGAGAGCAGAGATTGTTTTATTCATCTTTATATTCCCCTTAAGTGCTTAGCACCATGCTTTTTTGCATGTAGTAAGCAGGGCTCTTTTGGTAGCATATGTTGTAGTATGAATGAAGAGTGTTAACATGCTGTTTCAATTAACAAAGTATTTTATATTTTGCTTTGTAAACTCTTTTCCCTTTTAAATAATACTTCTGAGAGCATAGTTTCATTATTAGGAGCTTGTTAATTTCATTGGTATGTCCTGTGTAGTATATGATTATGGAAGACATAGATTATATTAATTTCTATTATCATATATTATTGTTATTTTAAACACAAAATACATGGTTACCAAGAGTCATTTCTAGGTGAAATTGTGGGTTTTCATTTTTTTTTTTTGTGGAGCTGATTTCTTGAAAGAAGAAAAAGTTAAAAAGACCATAGTTAAAAAGATAATAAAAACAAAATAGCGTAAAACATTTTTTTAAAGTGATAGATCTTAATAAACTATTTTGTACTTCTTGATGAACTAGAATAGTGAGAAATAAAATGTTTTCAGTTGAGTTGATACTCTCCTGTGTGATCTCTGGTTTTGAACAGGTGTACTACCTGACTGCTTAACAGATGGTTCTGATGTGGTCAGTGACCTTGAACAGGAAGAGATGAAAATCCTGAAAGAAGTTCTTAGGTATCCTCTTTAATTATTTGAATGGATCATTAATAACATTGCAATATGATCTGTACATAAACTTTTTATCCAAAAAATACTGTGAAGTAGTAAAATATCTAAATTCTTTCCTAAAGACCATGAACATGATTTATCACTTTATTTGCTTATAACTATGTTTGTATTACATTTCTTAATGGACATATCAGCCCAAATGGGAGGGTCTTCCTCCACTCCCATCATGGGCCTAGGAAACTAGCCATCAGTGGAAATAAGGTGCAGTAGATGCAGCCTGATGCTTGGAAGGGCTGTTGTGGCCTGAGCTGAGCAGGGGACTGCATGGCTTCTGGATCTTGGTATTAGAGGAGGCTGATGCCAGGTGTCTCATGGGAGGAGACTGGATATCCAGGCTCCACAGACCAAATAGCTGACTATTTGCTGACCTCTTATCTATGGGCTTCCCTTGTGGCTCAGCTGGCAAAGAATCTGCCTGCAATGTGGGAGACCTGGGTTCGATCCCTGGGTTGGGAAGATCCCCTGGAGAAGAGAAAGGCTACTCACTCCAGTATTCTGGCCTGGAGAATTCCATGGACTCTACAATCCATAGGGTCGCAAAGAGTCGGACACGACTGAGCGACTTTCACTTTCTTATCTATTATGTAATTGTCAGACAAATGCCTGGCATGGAATGTGCAGTCCAGTAAAGGGGATTTTTTTTTCCCCTTAAAGTCTGTTGTCCCCTGACCCCTATGGGAGTTTGAGAAGGGAGGGCCAATTGCAACATGTAATATTTAAGTCTATGGGGATGTATTGGTTTAAGGCAAAAGGATTCCTACAACTGCTGTGTCTCCTGCAGAGTGGAGCCTTGGCCTTTAGGGGCCCTAGCTCTCCATTCTAACCACATACATGACAATCCTCTAGCATCCTGTGGTCCTCCCAACTTGTCCGCAGTTCCAAAGCAGGAGGGAGGATAGGCAGAATGGTGGTTAGAAGGATGGGCCTAGTGGGAGTTTATGGAAGGAGCTCTAGGATTTAGTTCTTCATTTCAGGGGATTTCAGTGAGTGTGGGGAGGGAGGCAAATGTGGGGGTGAACCCAGGCCTTTCCTGCCAGGTCCTCCTTTCCTCTGTGCCAGGTGAGGGTATATAGGCGCCTGAGACAACACAGAGAGCTTTGAGTTTACAAATTGGAAGAGTTCAGGATATTTGGTAGTTGGTTTAGAAGACTGGTAGTTTTGACTTATATTGGTTGGTCCTGTTGGTTGATTGATGGTTTAAAAACTGATCAGTATTATACTTTTAGATTTTATTTTCTGTAGGCTTTTGGTGGGGGTGTGCTACTGTATAAACAGTGGAACTTAATTATGGACATGTAAGAGAGCTGACTTGGCTATTTTCCTAAATCAGACTGCCTTCGTGAGCAGTTTACAAAGCTGATAGGGCTTTGGTGTAAGGGCATCAGGAGAGCTTTGTGATAGCTCATCTGCCATGGAGAAACTAGAATGAGGAGAGAAATGGATCTTATCAGGGGACATGTAACTAACTGATCTGTCTAAAGTGAGAGATCAGAGTTCATGGAATTTGCCATTCAGATTTGGGTTTAGAATTTCAAACCCATTGGTTTTTGTTCAGCTGGGAGTCCTTCACCCAGGATATGGGCAAACCTGTGTTTTACGTCGCTTACCACATTATGCTGTTCATGTCTATGCATGTCTTCCTCAGTTGATTGTAAGCTGCTTTAAGTGAAGCCTGATTGTTTCCATCTTTGTTTCCAAAATTCCTTGCACATATTGTAAGCTTTGGTTAGCATGTTGCTTGTTGAATATTTGTTCTTTGACAAAAGAGAAAGTTTACTTTTCTACTTTATTTTTGTGTATTTCAGAAAATCAAAAGAGGAGTATGACCAGGAGGAAGAAAGGAAGAGAAAAAAGCAGGTGCCTATAAAACATACCTATATAATAGAAGTATTTCATTGCTGTTATCCCTTAAGTTCACACCTAGGATTTCTGTTAAAGTTTAAGCTTAGGTGAAATGACACAGTTCCTCAGAGTATTCATATTTTCTTGGCAGTTTTGAGCGTTTATGCTTTTTTATTCACTTTATAATTCATCCAACGACCTGCCTTTTAAATTCTCAGTAAAGAATGAGATTATTCACTCCAAAAAAACCTGTAATTCTATTCATATTTGGGGGAATTTTTAATAGAAATTCCTCTTAATTTTATGAATAAAAGAAGATTAAGAAAATATTTGACTCCCCCACTTGCCTTGATTGCATTACTGTTTTGAAACAGCAGCTGCAGTTACCACTGAGGGTCCCCTGTAGTTAACGTTGCCAACTTGAAGCAGAATGACTCAGTTTCACATTTCCTGGTGTACTGTTCTTTCATTAAAAACTGTTTCCCTAAAGTGCCTAATTTTTCCTAAGGAAAAATTAAACATATATCTGGTTGAGGTGAGGGAAGCTGATGTTTATTTTTTCCTCCCCGCTTTTCTAGCTGCCTCTCTTTCCACATTTTCCCAAATCTTCCCGAAGGGAGAGGGAAACCTAATATAAACTAATTCTCAGTCACTTGATAGTCATTTTCCTTTTTTTCCCTCAATCACTGTGATTCATGCTTGTATCATTTACTGTCTTTGAAAAAACCTATTTTACTCCAAGGTACCAAATGAAGAGCAGAAGAGAGATTTTTAGAATTTACAGGGGATTTATTTCTCTTTGACTAACTATCCTTTCAGTAAGTGGAGGTGAAATTCATAGATAATACTATTTTTAAATATAAGAATATAGAACAGAAACTATTCAAAACTGGTGTCAGTAGTCAGTAGTACTGGGAATTCCCTGGTGATCCAGTGATTTGACTTAATGCCTTCACTACTCTGGGACTAGGTTTGATCCCTGGTCAGGGACCTAAGATCCCATAAGCTGCGTGATGTGGCCAAAAAAAAAGAAGACAGTCTTAACTTTTTGATTGATAAATAAACTGTATCAGGATTCTTGAATCATAATATATTTTAGGGGCATATGATTTTTATTTTAGACTTTTTAAAATGGAGGTTTTCAAACACACAAAGGTAGAGCTGATAATAATTTCAAGTCCTCGTGTTTCCATCACTCGGCATATATAGAGACTTATGACGTGGGTATCCATGAATTACCTAGAAAGTTACATGTGATTGGATTTTCCTATTTTTATGGAAAAATGAATTATTTTCCTTAATTATTTCCAAGATTTAAGTGATTTCTTTGGTTTAAATGCAGCATCTTACTTTAGAAATGAAAGTATAGGCATACCTGAGAGATGTGAGTTTGGTTCTAGACTACTACAGTAAAGTGAAGATAACAATACAATAAATCACAAATGTATTTTGGTTTCTGAGCACATATAAAAGTTAGTTTATACTAAACTGTAGTCTTTTAATTGTGCAATGGCATTATGTCTGAAAATTATGTACATATCTTTATTAAAAATTATTTTATTGCTAAAAAATGCTGACCATCATCTGAGCCTTTGGCAAGTTGTAACTCTTTTGCTGGTGGAAGGTCCTGCCTCTATGCTGATGGCTGCTGACTGACCAGGGTGGTGGCTGCTGAAGGCTGGAATGGCTGTGGCAGTTTCTTAAAATAAGACAACAGTGAAGTTTGCTGCATTATTTAACTCTTCCTTTGGTGAACAATCTCACTGTAGCATGAAGTGCTGTTTGATGGTATTTTACCCACAGTAGAACTTCTTTCAGTATTGGAGTCAGTCTTCTCAAACCTGGCTGCTGCTTTATCAACTAAATTTGTGTAGTGTTCTAAATCCTTTGTTGTCATGTCAACAGCATCTTCCCTGGGAGCAAATTGCCTCAAGCAACCATTTTCTTTACTTATACATAAGAAGCAACTCCCTGACCCATTAACATTTTGTCATGAAATTACCTCTATTCAGGCACATCTTCAGCCTTCAATTCTAATTCTGGTTCTCTTGCTGTTTCCTCCACATCTGCAATTACTTCCTGCACTGAAGTCTTGGACCCCTCTTAAGTCATCCATGAGGGGTAGAATCAACTTCTTCCAAACTCCTGTTAGTGTTATTTCTACCTCTTCCCATGAATCACAGAGGTTGTTAATGGCATCTAAACGGGTAAATTCTCTCCAGAAGGCTTGCAATTGCCTTTGCTCAGATCCATGAGAGGAATCACTATCTATGGCCTCGATAGCCTTATGAAATACATTTCTTAAAGAATAAGATTTGAAAGTTGAAATTTCTCCTTGATCCATGAGCTGTGTGTTGTAGTTGTTCAGTTGCTCAGTCTTGTCTGACTCTTCACGACTCCGTGGACTGCAGCACACCAGGTCTTCCTGTCCTTCACCATCTCCCAGAGCTTGGCCAAACTCACATCCTTTGAGTTGGTGAGGCCATCCAACTGTCTCATCCTCTGTCATCCCCTTCTCCTCCTGTCTCCAATCTTTCCCAGCATCAGGTTTTTTTCCAATGAGTCGGCTCTTCGCCTCAGGTGGCCAAAGTATTAGAGGTTCAGCTTTGGCATCATGAGCTGTGTAGCAGGCATGAAAACAACTTGAATCTTGTACCTCTCCATCAGACCTCTTGGATGTTCAGGTGCACTGTCAATGAGTAGTAATATTATGTATAGAATCTTTTTTTCTTTTTTGGAGGAGTAGGTCTCAACAGTGGGCTTCAGGTACTCAGTAAACCATGTTGTTAACAGATGTGTTATCATCCAGGCTTTGTTCCACTGATAAAGCACAGGGAGAGTAGATTTCCCATAGTTCTTAAGGGCCTTGAGAAACCTGTATGTAGGTCAGGAAGCAACAGTTAGAACTGGACGTGGAACAACAGACTGCTTCCAAATAGGAAAAGGAGTATGTCAAGGCTGGATATTGTCACCCTGCTTGTTTAACTTATATGCAGAGTGCATCATGAGAAACGCTGGGCTGGAAGAAGCACAAGCTGGAATCAAGATTTCCAGGAGAAATATCAATAACCTCAGATATGCAGATGACACCACCTTTATGGCAGAAAGTGAAGCAGAACTAAAAAACCTTTTGATGAAAGTGAAAGAGGAGAGTGAAAAAGTTCGCTTAAAGCTCAACATTCAGAAAACTAAGATCATGGCACCTGGTCCCATCACTTCATAGCAAATAGATGGGGAGACAGTGGAAACGGTGTCAGACTTTATTTTTTTGGGCTCCAAAATCACTGCAGATGGTGACTGCAGCCATGAGATTAAAAGACGCTTACTCCTTGGAAGGAAAGTTATGACCAACCTAGATAGCATATTAAAAAGCAGAGACATTATTTGCCAACAAAAGTCTGTCTAGTCAAGGCTATGGTTGTTCCAGTGGTCATGTATGGATGTGAGAGTTGGACTGTGAAGAAAGCTGAGTTTCAAAAAATTTGATGCTTTTGAACTGTGGTGTTGGAGAAGACTCTTGAGAGTCCCTTGGACTGCAAGGAGACCTAACCAGTCCATCCTGAAGGAGATCAGTCCTGAGTGTTCATTGGAAGGACTGATGCTGAAGCTGAAACTCCAGTACTTTGGACCTCATGAGAAGAGTTGACTCATTGGAAAAGACCCTGATGCTAGGAGGGATTGGGGGCAGGAGGAGAAGGGGACGACAGAAGATGAGTTGGTTGGATGGCATCAAACTCAGTGGACATGAGTTTGAGTAAACTCCGGGAGTTGATGATGGACAGATAGGCCTGGCTTGCTGCGGTCCATGGGGTCTCAAAGAGTCGGACATGACTGAGTGACTGAACTGAACTTAAGGGCCTTATTATGCATTAGCCTCTAATAAGACAGTATGTCCTTTGAAGCTTTTAAGCCAGGTATGGACTTATCCTTACTTGCTATGAAAGTTTGAGATAGTATCTTCTTCCAGTAGTAGGCTGTTTCATCTACATTAAAAATCTGCTGGTAGAGTTGTTGTTTTAATCACTAAGTTGTGTCCGACTCTCTTGCAACCCCTTGGACTGTAGCCCACCAGTTTCCTCTGTCCATGGGATTTCCCAGGCAAGAATACTGGAGTGGTTTGCCATTTCCTTCTCCAGGGGATCTTCCTGATCCAGGGATTGAACCTGTGTCTCTTGCATTGGCTGACAGATTCTTTACCACTGAGCCACCTTCATTAATTTTGTTAGTGAGATCTTCTGGATAGCTTGCTGCAGCTTCCCCATTAGCACTTGCTGCCTCACCCTGTGCTTGTGTGTTACAGAGGCAGCTTCTTTCCTTCAATTTCATGAACCACCCTCTGCTAGCTTCACACTTTTCTTCTGCAACTTCCTCACTCCCTCAGCCTTTATAGAAACTTGCTCTGGATTAAGCTTTGGCTTAAAGGAATGTTGTGGCTGGCTTGTTCTTCTATCCAGACCACTAAGACTTTCTCCATATCAGCAGTAAGGCTGTTTCACTTTCTTGTCAGTCGTGTTCACTGGAGTAGCAGTTTTAATTTCCTCAAGAGCTTTCCCTTTGCATTCACAACTTGGTTAACTGTTTGGTGCAAGAGGCCTAGCCTTTGATCTGTTTTAGCTTTAGACACACCTCCTCACTAAACGTAATCATTTCTAGCTTTTGATTTAAAGTGAGAGACCTGTGACTTTTCTTTTCACTTGAACACTTCGAGGCTCCTGTAGGGTTATTAATTGGCCTCATTTCAACATTTTTGTGTCTCAAGGAATAGGAAGGTCTGAGGAGAGGGAGAGAAGTAAAGGAACAGCCGGTTAATGGAGCAGTCAGAGCACACACAGCTTTCGTCTGTTAAGTTCACTGTCTCATATATAAGGTTGCGATTTGTGGTGCCCCAAAACAGGCACAATAGTAATAGCAGAAGTCACTGATCCCTGGTGATAGGATAATAAATTTGATAATGAAAAAGTTGGAAATATTGCAAGAATTACCAAAATGTGACACAGAGACACAGTGAGCAAATTCTGTTGGAAAAATGGTGCGTATAGACTTGCTTGATGCAGAGTTGCCACAAACCTTCAGTTTGTAAAAAAGAAAAACAAAAAAACACAGTATCTAGTAAAGATAGTAAGTTGAAGTGCAATAAAATTAGGTATGCTGTAAACCAATTTGTGGCTGCTTCAGGCATATCATAGTACTGGTATTATTATTATTGTATTTTTTAGATCATTTTAAGTTAAAGCATCAATTCTGTGGTGCTCAATCTTTTTAGTAGACAGTAATTTTTGCAACTAATATGTTTGAATCTGTTAAATAGTGAATTATTCAAAATTAATCTAAAATATTTTCTAAATTGTGTTGTTGATACCTGAAGTTATCAGAGACTAAAACAGAAGAGCCTTCGATGCAGGCCAATGAAGCGGCAAAAATGAATAATTCCCAAGGGGATGGTGAACATTTTGCACACTCAACCTCAGGTATGGTTGAAGTATACTGAAATTTCTGAGTAATATGAATACTTAAACATTGTGAAGAGTGTGTTGTTTTCTTATACATGCTTCAGCTTCAAAAACCCTGTGAGGGAGTGTTCAGTGGCCATTGGTATTTAATGCTCTTTGTGAATTTAGCTAAAGAGATTGCCTGTAGGAGATATTCAGCTGACAGAGAGGGTGTAGCCCCTAAATTCCTAAGTGAAGCTTGGAACCCAGAGCAGTGAGCAGAATTCCTTGGGGGAGCCCCCAGCCTATAGGCCATGACTACAGCATTCACTGTATGATCACGTAACATTTGGTACTTTCTTCCTTTATCACCATCAGATGATGTGTGGGAGTTAGAAGTTGAACATGGAAAGATAATATTAACTTATTTTCCTAGTGAATTAAAACACAGTAAATAAAAGGTATCCAGTTTGTTCAGAAATTTAGTCTTAAATTGTCATTGAAACTAAAATTGAGGAGACTCCTTGTGGGAAATGTTAGTGGATGATCTTGTTCAGTATTTGGGAAACCATTTTCAGTATATGTATTCTGATTTGTTGTTTAAGAAGACAGGTAATTCTGAAGCAGAACTTGAATATGATGATGCATTTAGCTCATTTTTATTTTGTATTTCTACATTTTTTAGATACATGTCCTTTTCTCAATTTAAAAAACCCTGTAACTCCATGAGGTAGATATTATGATCCTTACTTTTATTTTATTTTTTTAAACAAGAAATTCAAGGAAGTTTAGTGATGTCCAAAGTAACTGACCTCTTAAATAGTGAGACTGTGACTTCCCTTGGTCTTCTAACTTCAAGTCTTCTGTTTTTCTGCACTTTGCAGAAGTTTTATAATTGCGATAGATAGGTTTGATGTATATCAACTATTTTAATAAACTGTATTCTTAGTTGATAAAATAATGGGCATGTGAAACCGAAGCAGGTTTATCAAGTTATCTTGCTTTTTGATTCTTAGCAAATTTAATAATTTCTTTTGTTTGCACGCCCTGAGTAAGATAACCTCATTTGAATTATGTCTGTAAAAGTGCCTTCTTTAGATTTGTTTGAGTGCTTTTAAGATTTGCTGGTCCAAATTTAACTTTTTTTTTTTATGTAGACCTAAGTACATGTAGGGGCTTCCCTGGTGGCTCAGATGGTAAAGAATCTTCTGCAATGTGGGAGACCTGGGTTTGATCCCTGGGTCAGGAAGATCCCTTGGAGAAGGGAATGACAACCCACTGCAGTACTCTTGCCTGGAGAATTCCATAGACAGAGGAGCCTGGTGAGCTACAGTCCATAGGGTCGCAAATAGTCGGACATGACTGAGCGACTAACACACACAAGTACCTGTACTGTTCAAATCTCATTTCTGACATAATTTGAATATATTTGCCTATCAGACTATTAAGCTATAGAAAACTTAATTTCAAACCATTTGTAACTCAGTTATGCACATTAACAGAAACAATGGAAGGTAATTTTAAAAGTAATGACTTTATGTTTTAAAAACTGTTCTATTTAAAAAAAAAGAATATATCTGATATTCCAGGCAGTCACGTCATACAAAGCGATAGGAACCCGAGAAATGCCTAACGTGGGAGGAATCATAAAGGTGTTTGGCTTCCTGCTTATCCCATTGCCCACATCTTTCCTTGGTTCCTGCTAGAAATGGGTAACTTCTGTTTTTCGGTAGATTCAGGGTTGCCAGTGATCAGGTGATCTTCCTTTAAGCTAGCTGACTTTTTGAGTCTCCATTCATAGAAATCAGACAAGCTAAGTATTTTGGCCTTAGGCACTTTTCTCTCTAGGTTCAAGTTAGAATGTAAAAGATGTTCATGACAACAAACTGAAGGCAGGAACTGTCCAGAACAAGTACATGCTTATGTGTCCGGAATCCACTCCACCCCACCCCGCATGCCCAGCCCTGTGGTTCAAGTTTACCTATGCTTAAAGTCACCATCATGTGAATGGCATTTTAACTTTGCATATTTTGACCACCTTGTTGAATGAAGCTCACCTTCATTTCTGTTATAGTTAGTCCTGTAGCTTCCTGTATAGGTTGGTTGGAGTGTTAACGGCAGCCTCATCTCTTCCATGGAAACTTCCCTTTCAGTCCAAGAGCCCAAAGAACTTTTCCTCCAACCTCCTTGGCCCTGCAGTCAGTCCGCTCTCCTCATGCTAGAGCAGTGGTCCTTGGGCAAATTTCTTGCTCATGCAAAGTTCTATTTCTGGTTTTACTGTGCTGGCAAGATTTTTAATCATTTAGAGACATGTATATCATGTTCTCCCATCATGCCTATAGTTCTTGGCATCATTTTTATGTGAGTCTTTGTTCTCACTTGCTGTCTTTCATAGTCCATGTATTATAATGAAAATGTTTTGTCTTTTAAAATCTCCACCCTGTAATAAAAAATGGCTCAGAAAAGCAATTAGCATGTTAATCCAGTCTCTTGGCACAGTTACCAGATAATTGGAAGGTGTTGAGTGCTCATGTTATATCTGCTTCCAAATTCTACTTACTTTAAAATCTTTACATTTTCTTAATATGTTAGTAGGTTTATAGTTATCTTTAGGATGTACTTAACATTATTGATACTACTGGCACTGATTTCCAGTACAAAAAATTGTAGCTTTATATTAATTGCTCTGCAAATATAAGGTCACTTAACAGTTTTTGCCTGCAGACAAAAGTTTGAAAGACAGTAACACTGATAGTAAGGGATTTTAGTGCACTTTATTTGGCTTATATGTTGTTGTTTATCTGGTAGGTTGTTTCTGACTCTTTGCAATCCCATGGACTGTAGCTCGCCAGGCTCCTCTGTTCATATTTCCCAGGCAGGAATACTGGAATGCCATTTCTTTCTCCAGGGGATCTTCCTGGACTAGGGATCAAACCCCGCATCTCCTGTATTGGGAGGTGGATTCTTTACCTGGCTTATATGGCAACCTTGTATTACATTATACAATAGTTCTAATCTTTAGACAAGAATTATATCTTTTTGTAGCTATAGTACCAAACAGCAGGAGCTTGGTATTTGTCAAAATGCCTGTTCACAAGAAACCATGGTTAAAGCTCCTTACGCCCGAGACCATGTTCATTTGTTTCCACCCAGTGCCTAGCACAGCAGAGGCACTGAACCAATGCTTGCGAATGAATGAGAGAAAAAACCGAACTATTATTATTATTAGCTCATTTTGGTAAATCTAGCATAACTTAATATTTCTTATAATATTCTAATTGGTCTCTCTAATTACTGCCAGAAGTTAAAGTGCATTTTGCTAATCAATCAGTCCAGCCTTCGACAAGAAAGCTGGAAATGTTGCCTGAAACTTCCTCCCTCCCACAAAAAGGCCTGAAGATTCCTGGCTTCGAACATGCAAGCATGGAGGGACCAATAGCAGTAAGTTAAAACATTATTTTTTAAGAACTATGAGCAAATGACAAAGTACTAGAAACATTGTAAATAGCCATAGACATCCAGCTTTTGTTATGGTCTTGGACTCAAACTTCTAATTTGATCAGTAAGTGGGTGTATTTGTGCCACTTATTATGCAGTCTTGAATTTAAATAGTTCCTGCTCTCATTTGACCCAGAATTTATCAACACTTGGAACAGAAGAGCTCCGCCAGCGAGAACACTATCTAAAACAGAAGAGAGATAAGTTGATGGCCATGAGGAGGGACATGAAGACGAAGCAGAATCAAACTTCGGAGCAGAAGGGAAAACCTGCTAGGGAGGTGGAGGTATGACCAGCTCTAGTATGTGAAAATTGGCACACCTGTGGGTGGGGTTCTCAGAGTATGTGCTCTTTAGATGCATTCGTAACAGTCTCCCTGTCAGTGTAGCACTCCTACACTGAGAAAAGTCAGTCTTTCCTCAGCAGTAAAAGGGTTGATAGGATTTTGTGAGGTAGAAATGATAGCAATTTTATGGTTCTTTACTTGCCCTGCTTTGAGCACTGAAGGGTCAGCTGTCTATTTGACCTAAGCCTTTTGAAATACTTTGTCATAGAACAGCATCAGTACCCTAGCCACCACCTCTAAAAGGCTTCCCTAAGAGATTTTTACAAAGAAGAAATTTAGGGAACTCAGCCCATGTGTGGCTTTTTTTTTCTTTAGTTCACTGAATGCTCTATTTGTTCAAGGCAGTATGCTAGGAATTTTAGACAAATGAACCCATCTTCTGCTGTAGCCAATATTTTTCTTTTGTTTTTGTTTTCTAAGGAAATGACAGAGAAACCAGAAATGACAGCAGAGGAGAAGCAAACATTACTAAAGAGGAGATTGCTTGCAGAGAAACTTAAAGAAGAAGTTATTAATAAGTAAATTTAAGAACAATTTAGCAAGCAGTTCAAAATTTCTTAAAAATAAATTATTTAATCCTTAAACTGAGCCTGTTTAGTTTCAGAGACTTGTGTTTATAAATGCAAAGATAAGCTGATTACTTTTATTAAACTCTTCAGGTATAGGGCAGTGGGCAGTTACTTATGCAGACCAGTTCAATACAAATTTCTGAATAATATTCTCTTGTGGAGAGAAGGTATAGAAAGCTAAGTAATAGTGCATTCATTCATTCATTTATTGTTTGTGCTAATAAGCATTGTGCTGCATGCTAAGGATACAGTGATCAAGTAGATCGGCAGGGTCCCTGCTTTCATGTGGCCAGTGTTAGATGGGAAGAGTGCAGTGTTATAAACAGGACCCTGCAGACAATAAGAGAAGGTTAGCATATGGAATTGGAGATAGGTGGGGTACTGATTTGCAAGGCCTGTAGGAATGTGAGAGTTTTACAGATTTTATAATGGCAGTGGGAAGTCATGGAAATTTTAAAGCAGGGAAGTTTCATGATCAAAATGTCCATTTAAAAAAGATGTGTAGTTGCTGTGTGGTGATTGGGTGAGTTTAAGAGTAGGTGCGGGTGAACAGGTATAGGGTAATCAATGTAATGCAATAGTGGTTCTCTGGGGCAGAATTTAGCACCCTACATTGAGGCAGGAGCAATAGGACTTCAAAAATAGATGTGGGGGATGTTCAAAATATCCAGTTACACTTTTTAGAAAAGCAACATTAAAACAGACAAAGGAACAATTGCTTGAGCCTCTTTGAGGGGGAATTCTGCCATGGGTACACACAGTCTTCGAGTTTGAAGTGATCCTGGGGTGGTGTGTAGTCCATTTGCTAAAAGGTAACACAAAATAGTAGGAGAAACCTTCCTTTCAGAAACTGTGTTTTGTGTCATCCATAAGCACCTTTTTTTCTGGTTACAGGCCACTCCCAAGGTTTAATTTATAATTCCATTTTATGTCCTTATATCTATAGTTTTTAAAAAGGGATTCTAACACTTCCCTGGTGGTCCACTGGAAAGACTCCACGCTTCCAATGCAGGGGGTGTGAGTTCCATCCCCGGTCAGGGAACAAAGTAAAATCCCACACGCCCAAAGGCATGGCAAAGAAAAAAACAACACCCAAAACAGGATACCAAAATTACCTTAGTTCCAACCTTCAACATGCAGAGAAATCCCAGCCTTACTTTATATTTGTCACATTTTCATTGCTTACATGGACAAGTGGAAAACTAGTGATTGAAACACAGAAATTTATTTCATGAAGCTTTTTATTAAAAATAGGTTTTATATTGCATACATGTTTACAGATAACTATTTTAAGAGAACCTCAGGCATACAAATGTGGGCTGTGGCTTGCTTCACTGAGTGAAGATAAAGATAAAAAATCTTGATCTGTCTGCCTGAGGGTAGTCATTTGGGACAGCAGCTAACATATGTCATCTTAAGTTATTCTTTCAAGCGATATTTTTGCTTGCTCTCATTTCACTGTGGCTGAGCATCTGTACCATGGAAAGTATTTTCCTGTAATTCAACAAAATATTCACAATTACGCTATAAAAAAGATTCCTATGATAATGCTGCTTCACATTTCACCTGTGGCAGTTCTTCAGAAAGAAAAACTTACTAAAAAAGATCAAGATAAGACTTCCTGCTGGAACTCAAAGTTACTTTACTAGGAAGAGTCAAAAGAGTAGAAAGGGAAATGTTTTAAGGCTGGGCTTCTTAGGTTCTAAGAGGAAATTTAATAAGAATGAAGAAGAGGGAAGGGGCTTGATAAAACTTGCTTGAAAGAGAATGTTTTCCTGTAGTAACTTTACTGATCTTTAAGTTGTCCTGAGTCACTGGACTGTTATGAGGTGGGAAGCTTCCATTCTACGCACCTTTAATGAAAGAGGAGCTACTGTCCCCATGCTGTGATCCTCTGGGGCTAGGACTTTAGGACCCAAGGCATACCTGCTCTTAGTATCAGCAATATTTAACGTGAGGTTGGCCTTTGTTTATTTAGAATTCTTTCATTCAGATTGGTGTTACGACACAGTGGTCTATAATAAATATCTATGGAAAACATACTGGCTTTTAAAAAATACTGTAAAATAGACATAACTCAAAATGGAATTTACTTGTATTTACAACAAACCAAACAAAAGCAACAACCATAGAATTACAGGGTCACATTTTAATTCCTGAATTTTACAGGTCAGCATTAATATCACCACATGTATACAAATGGTGTAAAACAAGTACAGTGGTATTTTTAATACAAAATAAACATCTGTTTTATGGAAAAACTATACTTCATATCTACACAACAGCCCATCCTCCAAACAATAGCCAAAATTAAAATTAACTACAAAATCTCCAAAACAGGGGAAACTGCTTCAGTTTAAGCTATTCCAGGAAAAATGGACCCATAACACATTACAAGGGTGATCTGAAGACTGTAGCTGGAATTATTAATTTTAGTCTTTTTTTCCCCCCCAATGTATTATAGTTTGGGGATGTTTTTCTCACTTCAGCATGATCTCAGATCAGCAAACTAACATTAAAATATTTAGTTAACTCACTGTTCTAAAAATAAAACCTCTTAACTGTTTGCCTCAGTTTATTATTTTAAATTCATTTTCGTACATGGAATGTGCTTTTATTCTTTAAAAAAAAAAGCAGCTTTCATATTACACCCTTTATTATGAAAAGCTTCAGGTGCTGCATACTGACTGACACTGAAGTAACTTCTTGGACCAAAATGACCTGTAGATATTAAATGCCACTTAATTCAGCACTATTCTTTGTATGTTAGTCTTTATAAATTACACCTTAAAACTTGCCTGCAGCTTTGCAGAGAAAACTTTACTAATGAAGTAGAAAGTGACTTTAAAGTATCTTCCACAAAAGATTGTACTGGTAGACAGCTGCAAACGTTTTGTTCAATATACTCCCGTTTCTAGAGAAAATCACTTTGGAATACTACTGTACTGATTCTTGGCATCTGTTATTTCTAAAAGTGCTGATTTTAAAGTTATAGTAACAAAACCGTCCATTTTTAATCTAGTTTGTTTTCATCAAAATACACACTGAAATTTCCTGATGGAGAAAACTCAACATGTGCTGTAACACGGGGTGTTATTTCCCTCCAACTACCAATAAGGCTGAATTTCTGTTAGATCTTCAAAGAAATGGTCCCAACTGCTTAACTTCATTTTTTTAATGATAGTTGAATGTTTTGCATAAAAGTTAGAGGCAACTGATTAAAAGAACAACATGGCCAGCACCATTATACAAGTAATGTTATTGGGTTTGCAACTGAAGTTTTGTAATTGTTTCTAGATCAGAAACCCCCCTGGAGCAACCCTGCATTAATAATACCTTACCAACGTTATCCCTTCCCTAAACCATCCCCAAACCTGAGAGTTTCCTTGCTGAGAAGCTACCTCCCAGGTTACTAACTTTTTTTTTTTAACATCCTGAAGGGCAAATCTCTTAATTACTAGCAAGCAATCAAGTTCCTGGGAAGCCTGTTTTTGTGTTTTTTTTTTTTTACAGAACTAAACTCTCCAAGCTGATATACTGAGTGTCTTTTGCTATTCCTTGTATACTTATAAGTTCAAGTGAGAAAGCTTTCTGATTCAGATTTTCAGCTCATTGAACAGTTGCAGCATTTTTGTTCAACCACATGTTGAGGGCCCCCAGTAAATATTTTATGAGCCAAGACGAGGTCTTTTCCTGGGAGATGTTTCTTCCTCTTCTTCTTCCTCTTCATCATCTGGATAATCCACTAAACCAACCAAACTTCCCTAGTGAAGAATAAAAAAAATTTTTTAACATATGTAACTAAAAATCAGTTTTCTAAACTAATCACATATTATTATATCTGAAACAGATTATTTCTGAGTTTGATAAAGGAACGGCTTGATGATATGAGTACTTAGTAATACAATTGGCGGCATTCTTAAATTACCCTCAACTTCTTTACTTGGCTCAGGATAATCCAACAAAATCTCACTGTGGAAAGTAACTATCTCCAAACAGTAGGACTCAGAAAGAATCATGACATTTGGAGCTGCAAAGACCTTGGAGGTAAACTAGTTCACATCTCTAATCTTAAACTAGAGAGGATAGCCAGCCAGTGACAGAGAGTCTCCTGTTAGTCTCTGTTCCTCATGTATGTATTTCATCACTAAGTACACATCATTGTTTTTGTTCTGCTTTTGAAAAATATTTTTAAATGGCTGACATAATAAACACATGAAATGGTTTCTAAAAATTAATGACTAAAACATTGAGGGCTAGCTCTCTCTATCCAGAAGAAAAGGATGCGGTTATTTCAGGTGTTGGATCTTTCATGAGTAATGGACCCCTTTGAAAATTCTATTAAAGTCCTCAGGTATGCATTAATATGAGCCAATCCCATGAAATTTATATAATACATCTAGTTCAAACCCTTAAGATCTATATAGGATAAGCAAATACAATAGAAGTCAAGTCATAATTCAAACCTAAGTAGCTTCATACCTAAAGAATCCAGGCATCTGGCATTAACACTTTACCAGAATATAATTGAAGCACTTCAATATTAATCAACAAAGGGCTCTGAGCAGCTAGAAGCAGTTATCAGAAAGTCTGTGAACCAGATAAAACTTACGTGAGCATCTTTCTGCTGCTTTCTCAGTTTGATAACACACATATCTTAATTTGGATAAGCAAGAAGCAGTGTGGCTAAATTTAAAACTTATAAAGCCCTTGGTACAGTGCTTAGTATGTAGTTACTATTTGCTAATTGATATTAACTACTACTACCACCATAATCATCATTGTTATTTGGTTTCCAGTCAAACAAGTTGGACGAGTGGAGGTAAGAGGTAGAAGACAATTACAGTAAAAAGGCACCAGTCTGACAGTCACAGGAATGACAGCAAATGAAAGTTTTAATTCTGCTTTTAATCCTACATATCACAAGGCACACACATTTCAGTTCCAAAAGGTTAACAATTAAAAATAATTTTTGGCGTAAGATCAATAAATATTGTCTGAAACACTCAGCTACACAAATTTTCAATTTAATCTCTATTATCTATACATATACACACCATAAACTCATTATACATTTAAAAATGTTTAGCATACAGAAAGAATAAAAACACAAAATAAGAAATATTGGAAGTAAAAGGACTATAAATCCACAGATGCATACTGTGAAGAATTTGATTGACTTTTCATATACAACTATAAATGTTGTTTTTAAATAAATATCAGCTTTTGATGTTAGTAAACAAAGTTCTCTATCATTCTTCTAAACTCTAGTATTCCATGGTACGGATACATCACCAAAGTTAAATTCCTTGTTGGATTGCTTTCCCAGGGATTATACTCTCTTTAAAATTTTTTGTTTCTGACAATGTATCAACAAAGACCAAAAAGGAAATGAGAAAATAGCAGAGGAAAGATGTCAAGGCATTTTTGGAAGAAGAAATCAGAGAGGCAAAACAACTCATTTTTAATGGAGAACAAAGCCAAGAAAGTATTTTCAGGAGAATATAGAAACGAGAAGGAAGCAAACTGATTCGTCTTAATCCTAGCAAACAGAGAAAGAAAGAGCACCAAAATACTAGGGAAAGCAGGGAAGACAGTTAATGGTGGAGTCAGTGAAATAGACAACTGAGTCCTCAATTCTGTAATTCATTCCCCTACTGCATGCCCATCCCCACCAGGAGCTCTCCCACCAGGAGATTCCAGCTCACCCACCAACAACCATAAGGAAGAGGAACCACAAAGGTTCTGCATTTCAGGACTTTGGACACAGTGAAGGGCAGGCAGGATAAGGTGCCAGGGTGAAAAGGGACAAATAAATTTGTCTACATAAACATGTCTTAAATGAAATCAGAATGTTTTCTAATACCATATACAAAAATAAACTCGAAATGGATTAAAGACCTGAATGTAAGGCCAAATACTATAAAACTAGATAAAAACAAAGGCAGAAGACTCTATGACATTATTTTTTTGGATCAGTTTCCTAAAACTAAGCAAAAATAGACAAATGGGGCCTAATTAAACTTAAAAGCTTTTGCAAAGCAAAGATGAAAAAACAACTTATTGAATGGGAGAAAATATTTGTAAATGATATGACCAGTAAGGGGTTAAAACTCAAAATTAATAAACTGTTCAAGTCAACATAAAAAAAAAGCCCCTATGAAAAACTGGGCAGAAGATCTGAATAGACACTTCCTCAAAGATGACATACAGATGGCCAACAGGCACATGAAAAGATGCTCAGTGTTGTTAATTATTAGAGAAATGCAAATCATAACTATAACGAGGTATTACCTCCTCTGGTCAGAACGGCCATCATCAAAAAAAGTCTACACATAATAAATGCTGGAGAGGGCGAGGAGAAAAAGAAACTCGCTTATGGTATTGGTGGTAATATAAACTGGTGCAGCCACTATGGAAAACAGTGCGAAGGGGTTCCTTAAAAAACTAGTTACCATATGATACAGTAGTCTCACTCCTGGGCATACATTCTGACAAAACTATAATTCAAAAAGATCCTTGCATCCCAATGTTCACAGCAGCACAATTTACAATAGGCAAGACATGGAAGCAACCTAAGTATTCATCAATGGATGACTGGATAAAGAAGATGTGGTATACATACACAGTGGTATATTAATCAGCTATGAAAAAGAATGAAAAAATGCCATTTGCAGCAACATGGATAGACCTAGAGATAATCATATGAAGTAAATCAGAAAAACAAACATGGTATTGCTTATACATGGAATCTAGAAAGAACGATCATAAATGAACTTATTTAAAAACAGAAACAGACTCACAGACATAGAAAATTATGATTACCAAAGGGGAAAGGGAGGAGGGAGAGGATAAATTAGGAGTTTGGGATTAACATATACACAATACCACATGTAAAACAGATAACCAAGAAGGACCTGCTGTATAGCACAGGGAATATATTCAATATCTTGTAATAATCTGTAATGGAAAACAATCTAAAAAAGAACTTATCTATCTCTGAATCAATTTTCTGAACACCTGGAAAACAATGATGGTGAAAATGGTTAAAGGACCATTGGTGATAAAGAACCTGCCTTCACTCAGAAATGTGATCAGTTTCTTGAAAAAAGGTTGAGAGCCAATATAACTAGTGCTTTACTCTGTGAGCTCCTATATTGCTTAATATCAAATTTTTGTGATAGTCTTGAGTGACTGCACAATTAATTTGTTTTCCAAGAACAACTGCTATTTTTCTACTTATTCCCCCCCAAAGTATAGATCAAATGTATTTGGCAATCTGCTGTTAGTGTCATAAGGGTGAAATAAGCATTTGGGTGTTTGCACTTGATTTTGCTTGTTCATAAATAAAAAATTATCTAGAAGGATAATAAACTGAAAACGCAGGGAGACAACTAAGCAAATAAAACCATTAAAAAAAAATGAGTAAAAGGAGAGAAAAATTATGAATATTATAAGATAAATTAACAAGGCACAATATCCAAACAGAAAGCTATAGTGAAAGAATATAAAGTGTCCCAAAACTAAAGGTCATGACTTTTAATTGAGAAAGCTGAAAGTATTTCATTTTTAAGTTACAGAATACAGGGATAAAACTCCAAATGCTTCCAAGAAAGACAAATTAAATTCCTAAAAAAGAATTAGGAATAAGAATGTCTCTGGATTTCTTGGCAGGAATAACTTCACATTTTTGGAAGAAAATTATTTCTAATTTGGTTCCTTCTACATTCAGTTAAACTGTCAATCAAATATGGGGATACAATAATGACATCTTCCTACATGCCAGGTCTTATACTTTATCTCTCATGAAATCCTTTTCTCAGGAAACAGAGAGGGTATGCTCCAATAAAATGAAATGGAAAATCAAGAAAGAGAACAGACTCGAGATCTAGGAAACAGTCAATGTAAGAAAAAAAGAAAGGCAAAGGAAGTGTTAGGGTGATGGCAGAACGGCCTTAAGAAAATGGCTGTGCAGCGAGTCCAGAGAGCGAGCGATTCCGGCTGGGGCAAGATGGTGGTCTTCAAGAGAGACACCTCCAAGGAACAGACTATCTGGAAACTAACTTGAGAGGTACTGAAAGAATGAGTGAGAGGCACGTAACTGTTGCAACAAATGAAAAAATGGTGGCAATTAAATTATTAAAAAAAAAGTTACAAAGCAAAATATACTATAGGAAAAAAGAGCAGGAAAAAATGAATAAAAATTTTTACATTGTTATAGCTATAAGATTATCAAATATTGTTTTAACCAAAAATTGTGATACAGGGAGTAATAAGGGTGAGGATGTGATAAGGAGTGGTAAAACAATGTATCAGTATTAGCACACTGTTTAGAAATAGAAGAAACAGGTATTAACAGAAGAGATCCAAGCTTTCTCTGTGGAGAGGAAAAGAGGACTTTTCCCCCCCATAATTTTAATACTGTTTGCTTTTTAAAAGCAAGTATATATATTATTTTGATTAAAAAAAAAAAGCTAGTATATATTGAGTTGTATCAAATAGTGTTCTAAGCTCTTTACATTTATTAAATAATTTAATTTTCACAACAAACTGATAAAGGATGTACTGATTTACCCCTATTTAAAATGAGAAAACTAAAGCGTGGAGAGATTAAACAGCTAAAAAGAGGCAGAGTCAAGATCTGAACCCAAACAATATAATATTCTTAATATAGTGTCACAATATTACACTCAATTATCCTATAAAAAAATGAAAACTTAAAAATTCTTGTTCCATAACATAAACTGTGTTTTACAAAACAGAAGAATCCCATTGAAAATGCTATTTCTGTAATAATTAGTCAAGAACCCACCTTGCTACAAACACTTAAGATTCTACATTTTTGTAAAAAAAAATAAATGAATAAACTCAGACTTGTATTTTATGTTTAAAACAGGCTTGACTTCAGTTAGGTGTTTGACTATGGCCTTCTCTTGTCCTTCTACCCTTATACTAAAGTTGTCCTATATTTATGCCTTTTCATTTTTAAGCCACTCCTTTTTGGGGAAAAGGATATTTTACATATAATGATACTGTAAAGGAAATAAAAACATTTTATATACAATTTAAACTATTTTACATAAAAAAGGTAACCACTGGGAAATACATTTGCTCTGTGAATGACAAAAAGATTATTAATAGTATTCTTAAAGACTCACTCACTAAAATAACAAACCAATTTTAAAAAGGCAAGACTATGAATAGACAATCAACAGAAGAACAAATCAAAAGAGCTAATATTCAACTTCACTAGTAACAAAAGACAGTAATTGGGGAATGAGATATATTTTAATACTGTTTCCACTACTGAGTGAGTAAAGATTAAAAATCATTATAATAACACTGCCAAACTGGCAGTGAGCGAAGCACACTCATACAATGGTTATGGTAACTAACTGGTAGTCTTTCTGGAGAGGAATTTGACAATATGTTGAAAAACATTTTTACTCATCCATCCAAGAAAATAATTTAAAATGCAACAGCAGCAGTAGTCAGTGAAATATCAGAATCAACTTATGTGCTCCAAAGTACTGGTGGGGAGAGGGGATGCTTACAAATACTATTATACAGCTAAATAAAATGAAATTCTAATCATCAACAATGTTTTAATAACATAGAAAAATTCTTATAACAAATAAAAGCAGGATACAAAACTGTGCTTATACAAAGAGCATAACTGTGTCAGATAAACCCACACACCTAAAGAACAATCAGTCAGATGTTAGCAGTCATTTTCTTATGACAATGTGTGCAACTTTTTATCTTCTTTGAAATTATTTTTATTATCCAATTTTTCTTCAGGAAACATGAAATAATTTTACAGATGAAAACAGCAAAGTTTGTTTGTGTGTAGAGCAGTTTCACATACCTTGGTGGCTGTTACAGATGTGGCCAAGTTTGTAGTTTTGGAAGAGGATCCATTAGAACTTGCTGGTGGTGTCTGAGCCACTACAGATTTGCTGTTTGTACTGTTTGTTCCATTAGCAGCACTGGTGGAGTGGGAGAAAGTAAATTTGAAGCCACCAGAAGATGTCCTTTTCGGAAGGTTTTCCTTATCTTCACTTTCCTTTGCTAAGGGAAACATAAATATTTGAATCTTTGTTGGTAAATACTGCTAAGTCAAAGCATCTGAAAATAACAGTAATTTAAAACTTTTGCTTTTTTTGTAAGAACTAAGAGGGCAGAGCATGATGAGTACAGTTATCCATCTTCATTAGCTGTCATCTTAGAAATCCCAGGGTTAGAAAGAACCTTAAGAATCAGGTAACTGATCAGCCACCCTACCCTAGAATTCTCCACTGCTCTATCTAGGACCCTTCCAAGGTCTCACTTGCTGTCTCTCTTTTTTAATTGTCTCTCTAAAGCGTCCACTCACTGATTCTATACTTCCATACTCATGAAAACCTAATAATCTCTCTCGCAAGTCAATAATATTCCAAATGCCTAAAGAAAATGATTATGATCATGCTTACTTATTTTCCAAATATTCCAGGTTCCTTTATCTGTTTCCTTTATGACAAGGGTGTCCACTATCTTTTAACATCTGGCTCATACTATTTTTATATATGATTCTTAACTGTTTGCAGTACTTCAGGTATTGCCTCACTGCCTCTTTTGACAGTAGTCAGGGCAGTGGGTATAATAAGTAAAAAAAGAATTTGGCTACCAAAAGATACCTGTTTCTTAGGACATTTTCACAGGTTACTTGCTCCCCGAGGCTGAAGTAAGCAGAACTTATGGCAGCAGTGAGGAGAAAATGAGTGAGGCAGGTAACAAGAGTTTCAAGGAAAATGTAGTAAGAAATTCATGAAACACTAACTTGTGAGAAATGCCTTAAGAAAAATCTAACACTCAAAATCACAAACTTACATAAAGTCTAGGAAGTGCTTTTGCCCTTCAAGATAAAAAAAATTTTTTGGAAACATTTAAATGATATATACAGTATGGTACTCTCCAATAGTGGTAATTGCTCAAGTCATAGAATTAAAAGTGATTTTTTCTTTTGAAAAACACTAGTAAGATCTTAGTTTTACAGACAAGTTAAACATATTTGAAAGACAGGAAATTTTACTATTACTTTTCCTCTTGATAGTTTATCTTTATGAAAGCTTTATTAACAATTAAAACATTTCAAAGAGTAAAGTACTTCTCTCTTTAAGCTTAGTTTCCTCAGCTGTAAATGACAGAGTGCACTGGAAAGTTTCTATGGATCTCTGTGATCTCTATCATTATTGGAGACTTCAGTATAAAAATAAAGCCATAACTGTTCACAGAAGGCAAAGTATAAACAGACAATGCAATTTCTAAATAGCAAATGAAGAGCATCACAAAACAAGTTTCAAGAAAAATATTTTAAACATGAGAAATGTTTTGAAAAATCAGATTTTAAAAAAGTGATAATTTTATTTTAAAAGGTTTTTATTTAGCATAAAATTCATGTCTTTCATGCTTTATAAACTGTGATCACAACCTCACAAGCAACTATATAATTTCTATACTAAATAAGAGAATGAGCTAATCAAAAATTCAACACTTTAATACCTTTTTTAGTCTCCATGAATTTTTCATAACTATCTGGAAAATCATCTTCTGTCTTAGATTTTTCCACTGGTGCCACAACTGTTTTTCCTTCCTCCTCATCATCTTCATTAAACCACATTTCTTCATCCTCTTCCAAGGCCTTTGCATCTCTGCGAAATCTGTTACTACGTAATATAGATGGTACACTGTAAGAAATATATCACAAGTATTGAGTAACGACTTAAAATTCCTGACCAGTTTAAATGAGAATAAATATGTATAACCAAGAGGAGGTGAAATAATTTTAACTGAGTATAACTTATAACCAGTTGTGAAAGAAGATGTAACCCGAGAACACTCCAAGGATGTTTGTACACTAACCTAAAAATTTATCTTGAGTTAAGATATGGAGCCGTAATTTTTTATATAAAGGATTCAGGACAAAGAGAACAGCCTACCCTCCTATACAACCCTGTATTTTCTAATGGTAGAAAGAAAACTCCTGGGTAAATTTTGTATGCAAGATCAAACTACATACAGCTTTGGACATAATTTTATAGGTTATAAATGTAATATACTTAAAAAATACCTGTTCAGTTTCTGATTTTGTCTGTCTTTTTCTTGCTCATATTTAGTCTTCAATCCTTTGAATGTCTGAACATATTCAATCGATTCAAGTGCTTTATAAAAGTTTTCAACTATATGTGCAGTAAGAGACTTGATATCTTCCTGTATAAGCACAAAATTTATATTTCAAATATAATACAATACTTGCTAGAAGAAAAACTTAAAATTTTTTTATAGTTTCAAAACTGATCAAAATAAAGGTTTTTCAAATCACCTTCCAAAAAGAAATGTCCTAGTTTCTTTATACATGAGGCAGGACTCCAAAGAAAACTTGGGAAAAAAAAAGAAGCAATTCCCTGAAGCCCTTCTGGGAGACTATATAGAACATTTGAAACATAAATGTATTTACTTTATGTCACCTATTTATTTTTTGCATTTACATAATAGTACTTTACAACTTAAAATAAGCACTTTCACATACAATTTCACTTGACTCTCATAACAATTCTATGAAATAGACTTTATTATCCTTATTTTAAAGAAAGGGAAAATTGAGGCTATGAGAGACTGGATAGCCTGATCAAGAGTGCACATCTAGTTAGAAAGCAGATTTTGAAATTATATTTTCAAAAAACACTGAAGATATTACTTAATGACTCCTTGTTTAACTATCAAAGCAAGATAAGTCTTACTAAAAAATAAACAAGATTCCTCCAACTATATCACATACACATATCTGATAAAACAACTTGACTTCCTCCTGTGTATTTCAAGTTCTCTAGACCAATAGTAATAAATTCTAAATTCTTAATGAATGATTTCAAGTAATCAGTGCAAATGCATGGTGAAAAGCAGGCTCATTATTAAAAACAGGTTGTGATCCAGGACTAAAGTATACATGCTATTTCTTTAAAAATAAACCATAATCTGAACTTTCAGAATTTTTACGTCTTTAAGCTAGATCCCCTGAATATCTGAATCAAAAAATATGCAAAGGAGAAAAATTAGAACCCAAGGTAAAATGGTTGTTACATACTGAAAGGAAAAAAAGGTAAGTCTTGGGCTTCAAAGGGTATTTATCAACCATTCAAAATTATTTTCAGAAAAACAAATTCAATCATAGGAATAAGGATGGTGTTATGAACCATACACTTCATCTGATCTGTATCTCAACAAAAATTTTAAAGGAAAAAAATATAAAAATTAATCTCTAATTCACAGAACAGTGTGCTGTGAACCTGGGTTCAGAAAGTTGGTGAGCTAGTTAACTATTTTCCCTTTTTTCTAAGGCTAGTACTTCTTTCTATCTTCTTCATCCTTTTTGCAAACCGTACTCATAGCAAATGACTACTCTAAGAAAAACAGTCTGCCAAATAATGTTGACATGAGAATAGTGTGTCATCAGTTCAAATTTGACTTGCAAGAAACAAAAGTAGAGAATGAATTTCTAGCTTTGATTTTCTTTTGTCAAGTTCTTTCTGATCATGTGGCCATGACTGCCAGTGGAATCATTTCAGTGTGTGGGACAGGGTAAATTTACTGTACCAGTTCTTCAGTTTTCATCTTATCCCTGCTAGTCACATAGAGCTTTCTCTAGATCTTTTATGACAATTCTTTTGTTGACCGAGACTGAGCTGCACCATATCTTCAAGCCCTGACTGTGTTCCTAAACAAATGAATGCATTTGAATAGGTCAGCTAATCACTTTGGGTGTCTCAAGCCCTCATCAATAAAATAAGGCAGTTGGAATAGTTCACCTAACAGTCTTTTCAACTTAAAATTCCATCATAACATTCTACCTTTTATGCATCTTGTATCAATGCCTACCAAAGGAATTATCTTCAACTTTACTATTCATTTTTATCACTACCCTTACAATAGATCAGAGATCATATCAATGGCATGCCAGAATGAAACATCCACATATGCTAAATATCCTGAGCCATTTAGCCAAAAAAAAGGAACTGAGAAGAATATAAACATGATTTAAAATACTATGATAATTTCACAATGTAAAATATTAACATCACTAAACATACCTATTTTTTTTTACAAAGAATCTTTTAATATAAACTTACCACTCTTATAAATTCAAATAACTCAATAACAGCTGAGTTCAATAGATTGTACCGAGTTCCATTATCCAGAAGAGCATTTACAACTGGCTCAAAAAGATTTCCCTTGGTGATGTAACGATTGTAAAATTCATCTTTAAGGCCAATTATTCGCCTCATAAAACGAAGAGCACCTAATTAAAAAAAAATACAGGGAATAAGTGGATAATCTTACTAATATTAATTATTGTACAGGTATTTCTACATAAAGAAATGTATATGTTCATCTAAAGTAAAAAGCAAAACTACATTAAAAATAATTGGGTTTTAAGAAAAATAGAATTAAAGAAAGACCACTCAAAACTTGTAAAACTTATGTAGGGAGCGAACAAAATTCCAACAACTAGTAGGCAGAGAGCTACAAGGCAGAGAGATTAGAAAATACACAAAACCCACACAATACAAATGCTGGCACTATTTAAAGCAGTTCTGGTAGACATGAGACAATATAGTGAAGGCAGCGTAGAATCAGCAGGAGCTGTCATTAGGAAAGGAACAAGAATGGTGCAGCCTGCCAAGAGCCAAGACTTCATTAACTCTGTGGGGGACAGAGGGGAGAAGGGAGTGGGGGGAGCTTTGGAAGTAGGTGCTTCTTTTAAATATTCTGAAAATACAGCCAAAGGTGCTCCTGCTACCTGTATACAGGAGAAGCTAAGGGGTTGCTTTACTTTTCTGGTGAAGGCTATTCCAGTTTTCTTTGCCTTTGGAAAATCATCTGTGAACCAACACTACCTCCAGATTATAATAAGCTGTTTAACCTTTGGCAAACATGTACTATGGCAGATCAGATTGTATTTGTAAAAGAGTGACAGAGCAATGAATAAGCAGTATAATTTGGCTTTTCACATTTTAGAATATTGAAATGAAAATTTCCCTTTAACTAGTCTTTTCCCTAGTTAAATAAAGCTAAACAAATTTAGCAATATTACTAAAACTTTGATGAAACACAAACTAATTTCAATCCCTTATTTTTATGTTTATCTTTTAACTTGTGACCTCTCTCCTAGATAGCGTAATTTATTCTATAGATACCACTAAACCACATCCTTTAAAACACAAAGCTTCCGATTTTCTCTTAGTTTCATTACAAACCCTCGTTCACAGATGGAAGTTACTAAAAGAAGAAGTTGCGTCTATCGAAAGAGGTTCTAAATATTAAACAGAAATAGGCCACATAAGGTATGAATGTGTGATCACTGTAACACTTAAAACAGGTGTGGACAGAAGTGCTAGACTGAAAACATCACTTCTTTTTATAGTAGGGTAAGAACTAGTTTATTTAGGATTAAAAAGACTGAAGTACTGGCAAAGACCTGAGAAAACAGGCAATTTCATTATGTTGCTGGTGAATGAACATGCACACAAAGCTATAGTTAAAAGAGCATTGTTTATAATAATTTAAATCTTAAAGCAATATAAACATTTAAATACTGGATATTCATTCAATTATGATATGTCCATTTAAATAGGACCAATAAGCAGTCACTTCAGAAGGGACTATTTATAGAAAGCCATACAGGAAAATCTAGCATGAGAACATTAATTTTTTCAAAATATAAAGGTTTAATGTAAATCCAATCAGGATGAACTGGATAAAGTTATTTTTAAGTTGCTGTGGAAGAACAACTCTAAGAACCAAGAAAATTATGAAAAAGAAAACAGAAGAGGTGCTAGGCAGATATTAAACTTTATACCAGAGATATTATAATGACAAAATAAACATTCTCATTCATTTTATCTTGTGAAATGAAAGCACAGATGATTCAGACGTAAGACAAATTTATATGGTAAATTATTATGTATCAAGTATTTTAATTCAGTAAAGAAAATATAGTTTATTTAGTAAGGTGTTAGTACAATTGGTTATCCACCCAATAGGAAAGCTAGGGGACTTTGCTGGTGGTTTAGTGCTTAAGACTCCATATTCCTGGGCTTCCCTGGTGGCTCAGATGGTAAAGGATCTTCCTGCAAGGCAGGAGACATGGGTTTGATCCCTAGGTTGGAGAGATTTCCTGGAGAAGGAAATGGCAACTCATTCCAGTATTTTTGCCTGGAAAGTCCCATGAACAGAGGAGCCTGGTGGACTACATCCCGGGGTTGCAAACAGTTGGACACAACTGAGCATGTGTGCAGGAGACTCCGATTTGATCCCTGATGGGGAAGATTCCATATGCCCTGGAGCAACTAAGCCTGTGTGCCACAACTATGGAGCCTGTGCTCCAGAGCCCGGGAACCAAACTACTGAGCCCATATGTCACAACTACTGAAGTCTTTCAGTAGGGTGGGTCCTGGAGCCCACGCTCCACAGTAAGAGAAGCTATGGCAATGAGAAGCCTGCACAAGGCAACTAGAGAGTAGCTGCCACTCCCTGCAATTAGAGAAAATCGCCTGCAACAATGAAGACCCAGCACAGCCCCCCCACCCCCAATCAAATTATTAAAAACAAAACAAAACTCGATGCTCCCAATGCAGGGGACTATCCCTGGCCAGAGAACTAAGATCCCATATACTAAAGAGGCATGGCAAAAAAAAAAGAAAAGAAAAAACAGACAAAGAAGAAAATCGAGGAATGTATTTGTATAAACTTAGGACACAGAAGACTTTAAGCAAGACCAAAAAACCCATAAAGACATATTTGTCGTCATAAAGAATTTTATAGCAATCATATGGAAAACAATGCCACAAGTCAAGGTAAAGACAAATGAGATGGGACATTTTGTTCCCCAAAATGTGATAAACTGCCAATATCTCTAATATATAAGAGCTCTAAGAAAAGGATAATAGGCAACTTATAGCAGATAACATACAAAAGCACTAAAATGTGAAAAGATGGTATCAAGGAAAATATAAATTGAAACACAAACAATACATTTTCCACCATCAGCTGGATAACATTTAAAAAAGCAGTCACATTCAGTGCTGTTCAATGAATGCATTTTTCATGTCAGATGCCTCAACCTTTTGAGAAAGTAATCTGGAGGCTATTATGTTAAATTAAAATCAAAAAAGGATATATTAAAAATATAGTAACATTTAGACCTGGCAATACCAATACTGGGGATCTACCCTATGGAAATAAACCAGTAAAGATTTATGTACTAGGCTAATTACTACATTATTATTTGGAATGGCAAAATACCCAAACAATCTTGTAATCCATGTAGTGGAGAATGGTAGAGTAAGTTGTGCAAGAGCCACTTTATGAACTGCTATGTTTAGGAAAAATATTGTTCACGCCATATCCAATGAGCTAGAGTAACATGAAGGGGCTGAGATGTGTGTTAGCATGATCATGTTTCTATAAAAATAAAACATGAAAACCTATACATGTGTGAATGTTTATGTAAATTTGCACAGGTATGGAAAAAGGAATGGAAAATAAGTAGTGCAGGCAGTTAACACTGGCTTTATTAAGGCCTTAAAAATTAAGGTATAGTATGGAGATTAACCTTTTCTCTATACTTTAAATGTTTACATTTTAACTATGATTTTCATGCTCAGAAAAAAATCCACAAAGCTCTTATTTTGAGAGAGATGGTTTCTTTACCTTTATCTGCAGGTGAAATTATGAGGAAGAAAAGAAGGAATATGCCAAAAATCCACATTTGAGCAAACATCAGCATTAAAGTTTGATTTTTATTGGTCCAAGTGGTCTACTAAAGGGCTACCCATAACTTAATTTTACAAGTTTAAATAACCTGAGTTACACAAAAACACATAAGGCCAGTATCTCAAAAATAAGAGTCACTACTAAACGACAGTTTGATGAAACAGATGTAAAAGATGGCAGGAGAGGTTCTGTTAGTGATATCATTGCACATGGTATTATATCACAACTGAATCTAAATGTGAGCAATATGTAGGTGGGAGAAGCACTATGACCTATTCCTCCTGTCCTTTAAATAAAAGACTAAAACTATTAAAAATGTTGTTCCATAAGACATTTTACAAGAATGTTCATTAAAACTGTTACTTACACAAGGCCAGGAAAGTGTGCTTTGAATTCATCAAGACCAAGACTCTTCTTAGCAAGTCCTTGTTCATAATATAGTTTTTTATGTGATACGTGTGATGTTCCACACAAAATGTGAGTAGTTCTAAAATTAAGGCAAGCAGCTGTGCTGTTTGATAATTATCTGCAAAGAAAATCATTGTATGAAAATACACACTGCAACACATCTAGACAAAGAGAATACTACGTATAAATCCTTTATTTTAGAAGAAAAGTAAAACTGTGTTTTTTCCTAATTTTTGTATCAATTAAAGAAGCTACAGATTTTTATTTTTTCATTAGGTAGACACTCCAAAGTATTAGTAGTTTTACCTACTAAATACTTTCTAAGGCTCTAATATAAAATATTTAAGTATGTTAAATAAAAATCTACAAACATGATAATAAGACCCTCACTGCACTGAGATGTTCTTAGTAATGATTTTGTAATATGTGCTATCATTATTAACATTAATGGGTCTATAAAAGGATCTACCCCATAGTAAAGAGGAAATATCTTAAACTTTTTGCCTAAAGTGGTACAACACAAATTTCTCAAGAAAAATTAATATGCTTTCTTTAAAGACATCTTTAAGAAAAGGACATTTCTGGCTGTTTGAATATCAAGTGAAAAATATTATATCAAGATTTTAAGACAATAATCTTTTTAACATCAAATCATGATATCGATGACAGGCCTACTAAAATATTCCAGCTTTTCCTTCCTCAAGAGGCTTTTGTTTACATACCATGGAATGATTTACAATTGCTTCTTGAACATCAAGACTGAATATATAATTACCCATACCTACTGTAAATATTTTAAGCAAGAAAACATTAAGCTATGAAGAAATTATGGAATCAAAGCCTTAGAGAACAGGAAAAAAAACTGACATCATCTAGTCCAACTATTTTATTTTTCACATAAATATTTTGTGGAACATCACATGATGTTATCAGGAAGAAATTTCAGCATTCTTTTTAATAAAAGAATGACCATCAAGTATAGAAAATACAATTCTGATACTCAAAGATCTTTTCTACTACAAATCTAAGTAAAGAGTTTTACCTGCTCCAGACTAATTAGTATAACAGCCAACACCACAGTCAATATTTGAACTAGTTTCTTACCATTAAAAACAATTCTCTTTAATTTCTCAATTCCCAAATTTTAAGATTTTGCAACAGCAGTCTGTAGTGTTAAATTAAATGCCTTGTTTTCACTTTCCCAAATTAGGATGTGAAATCACTCACAATATATCTAATAATTCAACCTCTGAATTGCTTCCTTATTTGAAACTGGCTTCCCTAGAACTCTGATGAGCCTGGTAGAAAAGACAGGATGCTTAGGTACAGAAAGCATATTTTCCATATTACCAGGTCAATACCTGATACATAGGTTCCAAGTAGAAATAACAGTGCTTATACACAGTATCATGAGACATCTATGTATGCAAAGACTGTTATGAAGACTACTTCCTAACTGATTTGCCTTAGTTTACTGTATTTAAAAAATAAGAAGGAACTAATCCTCAACTTTTAGAGGTCTTCTAAAAAAAAAAAATGCAGGACATAAGCTCTAAATTTACAGAAAAAAGTTTCAAATGGATTTTCCATCTTTGATATTAGAATTGAATTTTTTTCTTTTAAAAAAAAATCTAGTTTTGGATTTTTGGATAAAAATAAACCTTTCCTAGTTTTGTCTAAGTACATTATATTCTGAATAGGAAAAACATATAATTTGCATTAGTTCATAAAATAAGAATTTATACTTACCAGGACAAATCGTGCTGCTTTTGTTAGATCCAACTATATTATCTAAAAAAAAATTAAAATCAGTGACTTCAGTAGTAATACCTCACACTTCCTTAGCACTTTACAACATACAAAGCACATCTTTGATCATAACCTCATTTTACCGGCATAACAGCCATTAAAATTAGTAGCTTCAGTCAAATATTATACCTCTATCTGCAATTTTTTTAGAGACTTGGGTGCAGATGAACAGTTATTAAAATACGGTATCAAATATTCTATTAATTTAACACAAATTTTAACAATTAGTCACTTATGCTTTGAATTAAAAAATTAAGAATATTAAAAGTTTCGATTCCTAGGCTCACATCTTAGAGCATATTTATGTAAGGAAACATAATAATGTATACCAGAGCATTGTCTGTAACAGCAGAAAGCTAGAAACAAGTTACTATGAAAAACCACACATTATACATGTCATAGTAATATAAAAAACAGGGGTGATAAACTCCAAATTTGGCATTTCTTGAGGGATGGGGATGGGGTAAAATGGGAATGCATTAGAAACTATGTATAATTTATTTTTTTAAAACTGAAAAAGCACAAGTCAGTATTGACAAAGCCAATGGGAAATATGTATCTGTGATGCTATTATCTAAATATTTCTGTATGCTGGAAACGTTTTACTTTAAAATGAAAGCTATGTAAATCCATGGCTGATTCATGTCAGTGTATGGCAAAAACCACTACAATATTGTAAAGTAATTAGCCTCCAACTAATAAAAATAAATGGGGAAAAAAATGAAATGAAAGCTAAAAATGCATTTAATTTATATAAATGGAAACTTTCTGAAAGAAAACATTGTGACATGCTGTTTTTACCCATTCAATTTTATATTTTTCAGAACTAATCAGTTGACAGATCAAAATTCAGTTAGACTGCTAATCAGTATTCCACTGTACAAATATACATGTTCATTTCCTACAGTGAACAATGCAACAACATTCTTATATCTGTCATATGTATGCATAAATGCTCCCTAAGATATAAATTCAGAAATGGAGCTGGTAGTATTATCTAGGGTGTACAATTTTTATTAGTTTAACAAAGATTTTAACTGACTTCTTCTTAACTGATTTAACAGATAAACCATCATTTTCTGAGCTTATGTCCCCCAACATTTCTCATTTTACCAGTTGAGCTGTATACTTCTCAGAGTCAGTCCTTCAGCTAGTTATATTTGGCACATGATCACATAAATACTGTAGATAGATTATTACAGTTCTGTGACATTTTATCAATGGCTAAGTTAAATACAGCAGAACTCAACTTATATGCACAAAATTATGAATACTTAAAACACTTAAAGGGAAAGTACTTAAAACCACAGCAGAATTCTACACTCAGATTGCTTAAAAAATATGTCTCAGTTTTCACTCCATTTTAATAAACTGAAACCAGAAATTGTAGCTGATAAATTATGGTGCTGTTTATGTAAGAATGCAATATGGAAATAAAATTAAAGAAAAGAAAGTGAAAGTGACAATGTTAGGTGCTCAGTTGTGTCCAACTCTTTGCAACCCCATGGACTGTAGCCTGCCAGGCTCCTCTGTCCACAGAATTCTCCAAGCAAGAATATGCAGTAGGTAGCCACTCCTTTCTCCAGAGGATCTTCCCAACCTAGGGACTGAACCCAGTTCTCCTGCACTGCAGGCAGATTCTTTACTGTCTGAGCCACCACAATTAAAGAAAACCCATATACAAAAAACAGACTTCCCAGGAGCTTAAACAGTAAAGAATCTGCCTGCAATACAGGAGCCCAGAGTTTGATCCCTGGGTTGGGAAGTTCCTCTGGAGAAAGGAATGGCAATCCACTCCAGTATTCTTGCCTGGAGAATTCCATGGACAGAGAAACCTGGTGGGCTACAGTCCATTCGGTCACAAAGAGTCGGACACGACTGCGCGACTAACACACACATGCACATGCACACACACGCACACAAAGAAAAAAACAAAAACAAAAAAGGACTTGACACTATTCGAACTATCAGTAAGAGTCAGCATGTAAAGTAAATGTTTAGTTTATTTTTAAAAATTATTATTCTCTGCTTTAACCAACCTTTAAACTTCTGATGCTTATGTTCAGAAATTAAAGCATTTTTTTTACTGTATTGCCAACTCTAAAATGATGGTTCCCTTGGATTTTCTAATGTAGGTAATATACTCTCTATACTTACTCACTCTGATATTAACTTTATTTTTATTTTTATTTTTTGATATTAACTCTTAAGAACTCTGGGAACAATCTTCTTTTGCTAAGTGTTTACATTTCTCTTCCTCAAGGTGTAATACTTTCTCCCACATTTTGTACACACTTCTCTACCACAGACACTCTAAAACATGGGAAACCATGATTTTATATTTCAGGTTAAAATTTTAGGTAATAATTTCCCTATGATAAAAAGCATCAAGTAAAGAGCCTGTTAGCTTTAATACTTATCTTGATCTTTTAAAACAGAAATCATAAGCAGGTAAGTAAGAGGCCCTACCCTTTTCACGTCTGTCTTCTGAAGTATTGGTCAAAAGTGGTGCTGTGAGGACATGCATACAATGGTTGTAGAAGAAATTTAGAAATTCACTTTTTTCAGTTTTCTGAAATATACAGAATTAAAATAAAAACATTATCTTTATAATTAATAGAACATCTTCAAGAATTAGCAGTGCAAGTCATACACAAACAAGAGATACTTTAGGATACTGTGAAAGACTCAACAAAGTTATCATATTCACCTTAATCTTATTTCTGAAGAACTGACAAACCTATTTCATATTATGTATTAAATGAAAAAAAGCATTATAAAAGGTTTCTCCAAGGAAAATTATTCAAAATAATTTTTTTCACGAGTATGATTTGAAATGCAATGGAAAATCTATCAATGTAAGAACAACTTAACTGCTTAAAATTTGAAAGCTCAGATTTCACAATGTATCCAAATTTGAACAAATACCAAGTTTATTTATCAGGCCACTAGAAATGGTATAGATTTTTGATATTTCTTAAAAAGTTTTAAGAATCTGTTACTTGGAAATTTGGAAAATAGTGCCTTTTGGTTTTTTTACCATTATTTTTTATATAATTGGCTCTATAAATGTGTAATGATTTGAAAACATAATTTTTCTCTAAATATGAGGGAATTCTATAAAGGAGAAGTATTCAAACATTTTGAGATAACCACTAATAATATTTTGTGATATTTCCTTAAGTCCTTTTTGTGTAATGACTCCTTTCACCATGCAATTAAGATAATCTGATACATACTGTTTCTTTTTTACTGTGATAAAAAACATATAGAATTTACCATCTTAACCATTTTATATATAGTTCAGTAGTGTTAATTATATTCACATTGCTGTTTTAATTTTTAAGATGCTAACATACAGAGGCCAAGAAACAAAAATAGAAGTGCTAGCATTTTACCAAGATTTCAGCAGATTACAATCTTGTATTTTGCTGCAAAAATAACTGAGGAATAGCTAGAGGAATATTACTGCTACTTGAATACTGAGTGTACAAATGCTTGAATGCTTTTCAAAATTGTACAAATTTTCAAAATTTAAATATTTACATATAATTTATATATTTATATACAACTTAGTATATACAAAATCATCTAAAACTGACTAGACCAAAATGTTTCTATTGCAGAGTAATTTCTTACATTGGTTGTAGCCAGCATGTTCTCTGGATCAATTAGAGTACGAAGAAGTCCCATTAACTGAACAGCACCTCCTAGCTCAGGATCAGTGTCACAGATCATTTGTTCAATTACGACATTAATAAGAAGGATATCCTGAAAGAAAACAGGTTTATATGAGACCTGGTTCGGATATAAGACAAACACACCAGCTGAAAGAACAAAATCAGAATCATACAGGAAGAAAAAAAAGAATGGATGAAATTATTTAAACTTTTTAATCCTCATGTCTTCAAAGTTCTATAAACATACTAGAGTAAAAAGAAACCCACTCAAAACCAAACAAAAATCAGAGCACACAATAGCTTACAATATCATCCTTATAGGCAATGGAAAGCAAAATCATTTACCAGCAATTCTTATTCGCTAACATATTCTCAATCTTGGTAACTAAAAAAACACTGACAAAATATATGAAACTACAACTGGTAATATAGAAGACACCAGACAATGAAAGACACTAAGAGATGGGTAACAAATGAGATGAGCCCTATAATATATGTTAGGTATTATTATTAGTATTAATTACTGGATTCTGCAAACTAAGTAAAAATCACTTCTAAAAAAACTGGCATTAACCTTGTGGCTAGAGATTATGTTGTGGAGAGTAGCATGGAATAGCAAAATGGTCTTATCCCAGAAGGACACTCACCTCAGCAAACAATTAAAATTAGTCTACCTATAATGCATGACTAAACCCACTTCAAAGTAACAATGTGCTGAGACAATGAACAAATAATTCCTAATATAATGAATGATTTAACATTCATCAATGAGCTAAAAGAATTACAAGCATTCTGAGTTAGTTGTCTGTAAAACAGGCTTCCCTTGTGGCTCAGCTGGTGAAGAATCCGCCTTCAATGCGGGAGATCTGGGTGCCATCCCTGGGTTGGGAAGATCCCCTGGAGAAGGGAGAGGCTACCCATTCCAGTTTTCTGGCCTAGAGAATTCCGTGGACTATATAGTCCATGGGGTTGCAAAGAGTTGGACACGACTGAGTGACTTTCACTTTCACTGTCTGTAAAACAGGCTTCATTTTCTTAGCAAACTTGATAAACAGGAGGAACAGCTAAATTAAAGGACCAAGCCTCTAATGGCAGTACAGCTAATAACTAGCTAGGTAAGCAGCCTTATTTTAACTCTTCCATGCTCTTTTCTCCAATGGAACTAAAATTCAGCAGTCATTAAAGTCAGACCACTCTCAAAATTCAAGCCAGCATTTTTAACTGCATGGTAAAGTTCTTTTCTGGCATGAAAACAAATCTAATTTTCCTTAATCTGCTTCTCCAACAATGGCACTCATCACACTAGAAAACTCATGATCAAGCAACTTATAGCAAAATAATGGAGATTTAAGACAAATGACAGGAAAATTGCTTCTTCGGATGTCAAACTATGACTTGATCTGAAAAATAAGCCATTATAGAGTAACCACAGTGACATTTTTCCAGCGCTAGGTCACCAAAATCTATTCTTGAGAATACTCTCTTAAATAGGTAGTCTTAGGAGAGGCCTAGTAACTCTTATCCCATTAATGTTGCTTTACTACCATGGTCTCTGAGTTTTACGTCTCTTTGTGTTATCAGAGAAGCTTTGCACTTAGAACCTTCAATTCAGAACCAGCTTCCAAATGTCACCACTACTTACTTGCAATATTCTGGAGACTAAGCCAGGGGTCATTCAACTACCAAACTACCTGGCTGGTTGTTCACTTTGTAAATAGTTTTACAATAGAACATTTACTGGAACACAGCCACACCTATTCGTTTTCAAACCATCTATAAATGGTTCATACTAAAGAGGAAGAGTTGAGTAGCTGCGACAGAGACTAAAGGACTCACCAAATCTTATCTACCTTTTGGCCCTTTAAGAAAAGTCTGCCATCCTTCCTCTAAATAACCATGAGTGATATTAATTATAGCTTCTGGGAGATACTTCAAAGCCTTGGTATAATAGTTTCTAAATCAGGTTTTAGAGGAACAATACTTCTGTTGGTTTTATCACATTCCAACGTCATAGTATTCTTAGAAACACACACTTTTGTTTTTAAAGTACATTTAAGTGGGTTTAAGAATTTTTCAATTCTTAAATAATTAGCCACAGAGGAAGATAATTAGCAACAGAAGGAAAGTTCTAGGTATCTACATATGGAATTAGGTATTATCCAGATAACTGGCTGGCCTCCCTATTTTCTGATTGGGGAACAAAGAACATACTTTATTTCATTCCTTCCACGGTTTCTTAAAAACTTTTTAACTTCTAGATGCTGAGATATATTTTATCATCTACAGCTTTTTACAGTCACTGTTAGTCAAGTGGCAACCATGACAAAGTTAAATAACAGATTTGCACTGACACTTTCTGATAAGATCAAGAAAATATTAGAATCTGTGCAGAAATCTGTATATAGAAATAATGACTATAGGAAAAATGTTAACATTACCTTGTGTCTTAACACATTTTAATCCTGCAATCCATGTTGCTAAAACCAAATCTGCTCTATAGTACTACAAAGAAAAGTTTGAATGTTGTGTGTTTGTTTTGAGAGAGCACACTGAATACAGAGGTAAGTTATTTCTTCAATGTTACCACCAATTTAATATAGAATTCAGCATTTAGACTCCTTAATTCTGGAAATTAAAGAAAAAATAATTTATCTTCATTTGTGGGCTAACTTATTTTGATGTAAACAGAAATTTTAAATTGGAAAATTGTAAGACCTCAGAAAATTCAGGGAAATGAAAGACTTTGAAGACTGTGACTACAAGAAAAAGAGAAATTAAAAAGGGACTTTTCATTGTTAAAAATGAGTAACTGCTTCCCCATGCCTCATGCATCAGTTAAATGTAAACAAGGAAATATTTCTAATGAAAACATAAATAAAAGATTTAAAAGTTAAGAATTCTAAGTTACTAGGTTTGAGAGATTTTATGATGAATGCTCATAATCCCATGCATCACTGAGGATGAAGTAACAGATGTGTTTGTTTCAAAGTTATCTTCTGTAAAAATGACACTAAGATGATATCAACAGTGACATGGTAAACTGATTAACAAACTATTTCTTTAGTCAGATTTAGCATCATTTAAACTTTAAAATATACTTAATACAAAATATTTCTTCTATTTCTTTCCTACCACCTGAACAATAGCATTAGTCCTGACTCTAAAAACTGCCTTAAAAAAAATTGGAAATATCCAACAAAAATGAATGCAAAAATCTAAACAGACATTAAGAAATTAAAAATAAAACATAAAAAACTATAGTTTAATTCAACAGTAACCAAAACATAAATGAATCAAATTAGCATTGGGAATCTAGACCTTCTAAGAAGGAACATAATGATATTTTAGTTATTTTCTACTTAACACTAACATATATTTAATATAAGGGTACTTCATTATGAATATATGTTCATTTTGTCTTTAAAATAGTTTAAGGGGAAAGTTTAGTATTTTTGTAGTGGAAAACACAACATAGGTTTCATTATTAAATGTTCATCCCCACTAAATAACAGACACATCTGAACAAGCAAAAGCAACTTCTAAGTTATACTAGAAAAGTGCTTGACCTAAGTGTTTAGAGTTACCTTTCACTAGATTCACTAAATCTATCTCAACACTAGTTTGAATTTTTTTTTTTAAACAATAAACACATCAACTGCTATATATTCTGGGCTTGCCAAAGTCACAACTAATTAGAAATCCAATTATTCTTTATAAAAGATTAAAATTTTGGTTATATTCCTTTTCTCTCAACAGTCTGCAGACATTATTCTATAGGTAATTCACACAGAACCAAAACAGTACCACTTACGTCATCACTCTGCTGGGCTTCTTGCATTACAAATTCTCGGACCATGGATGGACTAAACTCTACTAGATAAGAAAATATATCTGTTGCAGCTGACCTGACTTGCAAATCGTCCATGCCCTGATAAAAGGAGAATCAGATTACTTGGAGAATGTTGACCCCTCTTTTCTCCCAGATCTATGTCAAACATATTTTTGGATTTAGACATGGTACTAGAATCAAAATACATACCTCTCTCATCATTTTCTTTTACAAATACTAAAAACTTAACTAAAAACTTTAATGATTAGTGTCGACCCGGTGTGTGTGTGTGTGTTTTAACCACCACAAAGATAAACATTCATAGAATTCAAATAAAAGAATAAGCACAAGATTATAAAGCACTGCTTTATAAATGCTGCAAAAAATTTGGGGGGTGGGAAGGAGGATTCTTGATGTAAATAAATGCAAAAATGTGAATGATGTCTCTCAGATAAAGGCTTCAAAACTTTCTAGAATCTGTATTTAGCCCTGGATTTGCCAGTTTACACCTGAGTAACTGAGTCTCTCTTTTACTCTCTTAATAGAGGATGCTTTTGATACAATCTGGGTATTTTCATTCTTTTCCATAACTTAGTTTTCTAAGGGAGTGATCCTGAATGATGTCTCCCCATTAAGTAGTACCTAAAGGACATATGATTCATAAGTTAGAAATCTCCACGTTTTTCGGAAAACATTCCCTAAGTTTGCAATTCTCAAAGTGTGGCCCAGGGAATCCTGGGGAGGGGTCCAACAACTCCAAAAGGGGGTTATAACACCTTTTTGAAAAGTGCACTAGAGTGGAACTATTTTCATAATACTTAAGAAAAGAAGTATTAAGGCATTACTGGCCCTTTTCACTCCCAGTCTCTGAGAAGTCTAGTGGAGTTTTCCAGAGGCTGTAAGGTGTTATATCGTAACAGATTAAATGCAGAAGCTGCTACGAGAATCCACCTATCGTCTATTAAGCCAGACATCAGAGACTGGCAAAAAAAGTGAAACAATGCCACTTGTCTCACCAAAATTTTTTTGTTTTGGAAAAATTATTTGTTCATAAAAGTTGTTTATGTTAACTATAATGGGTTATTATTAAATGAGTTAATACTTAAAAATCTTCTGTTAATTTCTCATACAATAAATGCCATTGGATAGTTCATATAAACAGAAGTGTGAAAATCACTCCCTCTACCCCATATTGCAGCACAAGCCCCCTTGGTCATCTTCCCTCCCCCTACTCACTGGTCTAAAAAGGAAAGGAACTTTATTAGTTTCTATGAAACAGACTTAACTTTGTTATAGAAGAGATAATAGTCTTGTAAAAACATGTGGGATTTTTACTCACTTGAAGTCATAGTATATGAATCACACATTAATATTATAAATTTAAGTTAATAAAAATCTGAAGATGACTCACTACCAAGTGAATTACAACTTAAATTAAAACATTCAACATGCATTACTATAATAAATTATTTCCCATCCACAATATAAAACTATTACAAATTTGCAATTTTTAAAAAAACATGAAGTGAAACTATATAATTACCATTACAATTTCAAGAGCAGGAAGAATCCCCAACTTTGCCAGAGTTTTGAAAAATGCGTCTCTGTTTTGAGGTTGTAATGTCTGAGAAAACGCACAAAATTCCTTGAAAAAATTAACCTGTAATGTTAGGAAGTACAGTGAGAAGCCGACACACATTAAAAGAAATCTTGGGGGCAAACTGTAATATGAACTACCAGTGTGGAATTAAACCTTCTCAAGGACCTGAAAACCCAGTTACCATTTTTTATAGCATGGTTTCTATGTTCTTTAGGTTATGAGGAGCCAGGATATCCTGACTTCAAATCAGCCAATTCATCTTTGGTATAGTTATTTATTAATGGCATATTTAGTTTTCTCATTTATAAAATTATCCCTTTACACCAGGAAACATCTGATTTTCTTTCAGGACTTCTTTAGCATCTGACTATAAAGTTTAAAAAAATGGTAAACTGTTGGTGAACAGCAGTAACCATTCTCTTTCCCCTAAGCATGGTTTATACCTCAAAAACCTAACTATCAACACTTGAAATAAAAGCATCTCTAAGAGCCAAATTATTTATCATTCATTATTCAAGAAGGATTCTCCCTTATTATTTTTAAAATTTACTTCTTTTTAATTAAAGGATAAGTGCTTTACAATATTGTGTTGGTTTCTGCCAGGATTCTACCTGGCGTCTCAATAATGTTTCTACAACCACAAAAATATATGAGTTCGTAGTTCTGTCCTAACACAATCCACATGCTTGACTTTGTAATTTATAAGGCACATATTCCCTCAATGGGGGGAAAAACTAAATATCTCTAAAAACTTCTAAGATAAATAATAAGTTTTAGAAATTTTGAGAATAATCATTGTATAGTATAATTTAAATATAGTTGACCCTTGACAATAGAGGGTTTGGGGAACCCACTCTGCATAAGTCAAACACCTGCATGTAACTTTATAGCAGGTCCTCCATATCTATTGCTTCACATCCAACCTTGGACCGTGTAGACTGCAGTATTTACTATTGAAAAAAAAATCTGTGTCTAGATGGACTCGTATAGTTCAAATGTGTGTTGCTCAAGGGTCATCTGTTCCTTTTGTACTAATTATAAGCATCTTCCTCTTAAATTAACAAGCTCAATATTAAAAGCTATGTATGCCAAAAAAGTAAGTGCTCTTTAAGGGTGTGAATTTCAATAATAACTTACCAATTCACGCCGTTTATCATCATCCGTGGCCTCATCTGTTAATTGTGCAAACACTTCAGACAAAAATTTTTCATCTTCCTACATGAGAAGAAATATTATATGAAATATTAACAAAAGTAGAAAGTTATACTCACTTATCTGATTTTACAAATAACAATAAAAGTATATGAAAACCTCCTAGCAGTTTCAGTATAAACTTAAAATTCCAGTATATTCATGTTATAAGGTTCAAAACTTGACAATACCTTTCAATATTAGCTAGACATATATTACTACCTCATTTACATTTAATCAGAAACCCCTAAAGAACTCTCTGAAAAACAAAAATTTGATGTTCTAAAGGATATGCATGAAAACTCTATTTACCTTAACTGAGTGCCTCTCTAGCTCCTGTTCAGGGTCTGTTTATTTATGCTTAATTTAAACATAATTCAAACAAGTTTGAAGATTTCATTATTAGTCCATAGTCGATTAGAATAATGGGAGTTACAAATATGGCAATAAAGAACACTGAAATCTGATAGTGGTAAGATTATAAATGCTAACAGTGATTAACTTTTGGTGATTGATTTTGAGTGATTTTCTTCTTTGTTCATCTGTATTTTCCAATTTTCTGGAATAAGTATGAATAATTAAATTACAAAGAAAAAATTGACATGAATATTGAAATTCACTTTAGAGAAAATTTTCATCAAAATCTGCTGAAAGTTATGCTTTAAGCTTTAGTAATCTTTAAAATTCACTTTTATGAAATATAATTCAAATAATTTTAATTAAAAGAACATAACCTAAAAATATCTGTAATAGTGGTAACTGCATGGTTGATACTAAAAATCAAACCATGACATATTAAGGATATAGCTAGTATGTTGCGTACAAGTCACTTCAGTGTATTTGACTCTTTGTGACTGCATGAACCCGGGCCTGCCAGACTCCTTTGTCCATTGAATTCTCCAGGCAACAATACTGAAGTGGTCTGCCATGCCCTCCTCCAGGGGATCTTCAGACTCAGGGATTGAACCCGGGTCTTTTATGTCTCCTCCACTTGCTGGTAGGTTCTTTACCACTAGCTAATATACCTGCCCCTTTTCTTACTGTGAATCCCAACATGAAGAGGTACCAATCCCTTAAAGCCTTTCTGAAACAAGGTTGAGCATATATGAAAAAATGAATGAAAAGCACTAGGTATGACTATGGAAAATATAATATGCTCTCCCAATAAATATCCTTTGGTGCTACTCAAAGACACATTGACAAATAACCCCTTTCACTGACTCAGAAGTGTTCCTTTTGTTATTTTGTCGATTTTCTTCAGATCTTGCGTATGGAGGTCTGAATCATCCACCTTCTGAGAGAATTTAACTGTATAAGTCACATACGCTTCAAATCATTTATCTGTCTCAATATTTTAGATTTTAGTGAATAAGTACACATTTATCTCAACTTAACACCTTTTATAAATTTTTCTCTTCCTGCATCGCTCCCAGATTAAATCCTTCTTTCCTGTCTAAAGATTTTTAACTATTTTCAGAATGTTTTCATTGGAAAATAGTTCCAGTTCTTTGATAAATGCAATTTCCCATTTAAATTCTTCTTATAGGATTCATTATTTGTGTGCTGACAGCTAAAACTCCAAAAGGATTAGAGAAGAAATTTCAAGTACTACAGTCTGCTGGGAGAATGCTTTCTGATTCCTAGCATTTTTTCCCCCTAATCTCTATTACTCTTTAAAAAAAAAAATTTTTTTTTTCTTCTTTATTTGGCTGCGCTGGGTCTTAGTTGTGGCATGAGCACTCTTAATTGTGACTTGTGGGATCTACCTCCCCGACCAGGGATCGAATTCAGGTCCCCTACGTTGGGAGTACAGAGTTTTACCCCCTGGACCACCAGGGAAGCCCCTGTTATTCTTGATAATATTCTACAAAAGCACTCTGCTCTGATATATGTACTAAGGGAGCTACTGATTGACAGCTTAAAGCCTATCATAAATACAGCTGGGAAATCTCCCCCTAAATTCCTGCTTCTTTAAGTATTAATAATTAAACTAGTTTCCTTAGATCATTTCAGTTTTTCTTTACCATTTCACTTTAAGAGCTTTTAATAAATCATAATTATCTAAGTCAAACTGTGCATGTCTACTACTTTAGGTAACAAAACTAAGGGGAAAAGAGGAGCTGTTCCTATAAAGTCTGAAATCAAACTTTTTTCTCTGCAATGATGTAGAAATGGGCACACGCACAAAACCAAAATGCCAAACCCAGGGCTCATTCACCATTAGAGGTACAAAACTTCTGTTATACAATTCAAGGAAACAGAATAAAATCAGTCAGTCTCAGTCCTGGCTGCATATCTGAATTATCGGGGAAGCTTTAAGCACACACACTCACACATACCCACAATAATAATTAGGTCTCACAAAATGGCATAAAAGGTATTTTAAAAAATAAGCTGCTTCTGTTTAAGATGAAAAAGTTCAGGAAATGGACAGTGGTGATGGCTGCATAGCACTGTCAATGTACTCATTGCTATGAACTGTACACTTAAAAATTATTAAAATTCTGAATTTTATGTCACATATACTGTACGACAATGTTTTAAATGCAAAAAATGAAAAGTTAAAAAAAAAAACAACCCAGCTGCATGACAGGAGATTCAGAAATATAAAATATCACATTAAGAAATGATTCTTCAGAAAACTATGAGATAAAGCCCTGTTTTCTATGTTTGATAGTACATTTAAAGTAAACAAAATAAATATTTCAAAAAGAAGGAACAAATACCAGCTTAACTATTAAGGTGACTACATATTTGAAAACAGAATTGTGAAGAACACCTTAGTTTACTTACTTGCAACATGCTGACTATTTCAACTTTGTTGAAGAAAATAAAAGACGTAAGAGTAGAAAGAAAATTCTCTTCAAAAACTGATGGTGTAGGCAAAATGATGTCCTGAATGTACTGTACCCTGTAAGTCTGATGTATTTTTTGCCTTAGTTCGGAGTCTGTTATTGGTATAACTTCCTTAAACTTCGCAGTTTTGGTCAAGAATTCTCGGTGCCTTTTTGGCTGGGCCAAAGCAGGGTCATATTCAAGACATCCCACGACGTCCATAATACACTCATCAGAAAACATAACCTCAAACAGAGTTGCCTTATTTAGGAATAAGATTCCTCTAATAATTTCATACAAATGGTGTAAGCCTTCAGTGTTTTCCAGGTTCTCACAAGCTTGGAATAGCTGCAGTAGTTTTTTAATATAGCCTTCATTTTCCAAGGCCAGAGCCAGCTTTTCCCTACGGATAGGTGAGGAGAGAACTGAGGTAACTAAGTCAGCAATCTCTTCAAGTTTATTGAGTTCACATGTGGGTAGGTCAATCAGATGACTGGTTTCAGGCATTTCTTCAAATCGTTCTTCTTCTGATTCATCAATAAGGTCCTGTGTGACTTCCACTGATGGATCCTTACCTTGAACCTAAAAATATACAGGTACAGCTGGTTACCTTAAAATACAAAAGAATTCAAAATTTCGGAAACCAAATCACTCACCACTGAATTTAAGTAAACATACCTTTTAAGGAATTAATCCTAATTAATTAACCCTAATTGTTAATTAAAAGTAAAGTGTAGAGGGGGAAATACTACTAGCTTATAGTCAGTTATTTGAGTCTTCAGTTACTGACTGCAGATGATTTCACTTCTAAATTTCCCAACTTATCACTTGAGGTTAATTCTGATACCTAATAACCTGAATGTTTCAGATAATGCGGAGTGAACTTTGCAGAAATTAACTCTTCTCTCAGTCCCCCAAATTATTATGTATAACAAAGCACCACCACACTGGCTTAACAAGGACACTATTGAGTTCAAACCAAATTAAAACCCAACTCCTTGTCTATTTAAGAATAAGAAAATAAGATTTCCTCAAAATACTTTTGGAAAAACATTTGCTTTTGCTCTGAGTCTGAAACTAATAAACAGACAAATAAAAAAAAACTATTATTTTAAAAACTGGCATTCATTTAACATTTGTGATAAAACCTCCAAAGGTACTAACATCTAGATAAAAATTACACCATAATGAATAAAGAACTGCTGTATGATTCACGTTGACTGCTTTATGATTGAAGAAAAGCAAGGCTAACAAATTTTCTAATGAATTACTCTAAAAGAAAAAGTTTAGAATTTGACTTTTCATAAATTTTTCTAATTCCTAATCCAATCGTGCAATAATCCTCTATTCTCTACCTTAAAACATGCTGAATATCCTAAACAAAGTTCCACAAATCTCCAAATTCACCAAAGCAACACATGAAAAAAGATCCAAGAACTTAAAGAGAAAAAAGCAGATGGATATACTAAGGCCTGTGTATTTTTTTCCCTGGAGGAATGACAGTATTTCTTTTACTTCTGAGTTTTCAACAGAATATCTGGGCCTAAGGAGGATGACACATAAATTTAAGAGACACTATAAGCAACAAGGTCATAAGAACAGTTCAGATAAAATGTCTTGGAAACTCAGAGGAAGGAAAATTCCTTCCAGCTCTTGGGGTGGGGGTGAGCAAAGAATATAAGGAAGGGATCATAAAAGCCACGGCATTTGAGATTTTAAGTAGACCTTCAAAGACATGTAAGATTCAGAGGGAGAAAAAGGTACTCAAAGTGCAAGGGGAAAGAGCACAGAGCCAGAGAAATCAAAGTACAGGACATGCACATGGCAAACAGCAAAACTGGAAATGCAGAGTGAATGAAACCAGATCATGGAAAGTCAAGCTAAAACAACTGTATTGTTCAAGGAAGTGAATGTGCAGCACTTTAGAAAGTTGACCTGGCATCAGCTATATGAGATAATTTGAAAAAACAGGTAAAATAGGTTATTCCAAAGGCTAAATGAACAACTGAATTTGGACTGTGATGTTGGGGCAGATGAGGAATAGCTACAAAAAAGAAAAGGAATTGCAATGACCCTGCAGTTTTAAACTTGTCATTAGGAAGATCATGGCTTCTTTAACAAACTGATTTGAGTTTGAGGTGTTTGAATATCCAGCTGACAGCTAAACCTGTGGGTCTACTGTTGTTGTTTAGTTACTAAGTCATGTCTGTCTCTTTTGCGACCCCATGGACTGTAGTCCGCCAAGCTCCTCTGTCCATGGGATTTTCCAGGCAACAATATTGGAGTGGGTTGCCATTTCCTTCTTCAGGGGATCTTCATGACCCAGTGACTGAACCTGCGTCTCCTGCTTGGCAAGCAGATTCTTAATAATTGAACCATGTGGGAAGCCCATGGGCCTACTACTCTGGAAAAATATGACAGAAGATAGATATCTGGTATTAAGGTAATGGTTAAGCCCAGAAGACTCTAACAGTAAGTAACCAGAGAAAAGAGAGACGAAGCTTGAGGGGAAGGAAGAAGAAACAGAGGTTACAAAGAACAAAAAAGAGGACACCAGAGGAGTTAACTTACACTTCAAATGAACATGGTTTGTATAAGTTTAAGAATAAAAGCACAGCTCTGGAACCATAACTTGGTTATAGCAAGTTCATTTCTTTGTTACCTAGTATTAACCCTGACAAGCTTCCTCAATGCTCTTCTAAACATAACTCTGAACTGTCAATTGCACACAAACCCAAGTGTCTATTTGGATGTCAATAGTGCTGTCCACCGGGCTTCCCTAGTAGGACAGGTGGTAAAGCATCTGCTTGCAATGTAGGAGACCTGGGTTCGATCCCTGGGTCAGGAAGATCCCCTGGAGAAGGAAATGGCAACCCACTCCAGCATTCTTGCCTGGAAAATCCCATGCACAGAAGAGCCTGGTGGGCTACAGTCCATGGGTTTGCAGAGTCAGACATGACTGAGTGACTAACACACACAGGGCTGCCCACCAGGTTTTCTGGTTCTGTCTCTTGTGGCACATGAGTTCATTGATTCAGTGAAGTTACACGGAGCTATGCAACTTGCTTTGGCCAATAAAATGTGAACAAAAGTGCCATGTGTAACTTTTGGAAAGAGATTTTAAAAACCAGTGCCCCTGGTCCGTCACTTTTCTTTCCCACTTTGCAATAACTTTGGAAATATTAAAGTGAATTTTCTTATCAACTTGGGTCCCCGAGTGACTCTGGTAAGCAAAGTTCCTTCCTCTCCAATATTGGTCAAACAGCATTAAGGAAAAAAAAACCAAGCTTTTGCTGTGATAAGCCACTGAAATTTCATGATTTTGTTATTGCAACATAAACTGTCCTTAACATTCTTACAGTCAGTCAACTTTATGCTGAAAAGGTTCACGGTAAGTCCACATTATCAATAGGGTTCTCAGTGAAAATTTATATTTCCCACAAACCAATCACAGTGATCAGTGCCTTATAGTTACTGCTTTAAATTTTTTTCCTTTTTACCTGTCAAACACTATTTCTCCTTTAAGTCTCACAAAGGAGATCTTTTTCTCCAAGAGCCCACTGAGTATTCAACTTCTTCCAACATTCTTCTTTTCCATCTCACAACTTATATCTTCATTCACTTCCTTCATCTGTTTCAAAGAAAATGTCCCTACCATTTTCTAAGGTTAAAAGTTCATAGGTACTTCTGACCATGCTTTCCAAGAGCTCAATATATTATCAGTTATCTGAGCTCTGGGTTTTTATAATTTCTTCCCAATGATTCCTTCTGTTCTATCATTTATCATTACCCTTAAGATACTTAGTGCTCCTTGAGCTATCAATCATCTTCAGAGAGGAATTCTATTTTCTCATTATAAGGAGTTAAGAAACGACCAAGAAATGTGTTTTTTATCGAAATTGTCCTTTCAAAGTCAGGAATGACCTCCCAGAACGAAAACATAATGTATGGTTCTGTAGAATACCACAGAGTAGCTGGGAGCAATAAACTAAATGTATACTCACAAACACGGATAGATCTTAAAAGTACAGTACTGAGTTGTGTAGTAAAAAATTAACCTTGGGAGACCAGCAGAGTGGCCAAACATAACATTCCTTTCAAAGGTGGAAAAGTCTGGGTAAAAATCAATGACAAATAGGGAGGAGAAATGATAACAGAGGGCAAAGTAATGAATAAATAGGTAATGTAATGAGAGAAATCAAGTATTAACATGGATGCCTTAAAAAAAGCTCAGAGTAAGAGATGGTATTCTCTTAGCTCAATTATAACAGATGCCTGGAAGGCTGAAGCTATATATTTACCAAGTCTACCACTGCTCCTGGGACTCAAAAAAGTTGAATGGAGGTCTGTAGGTCAACCAGACAGAATTGACACAACTCTGGGAGACACTGCCATACAATATGATTAACTGGACTAATTATTAATGACTGAGTGGGATTCTACTGGTTTGGCCAAAGAAGCTTGTTCTTTCTGTAACATCTTCTGGAAAAAAACAGAAATAACTTGGCCAACCCAACAGTAATATGCCAGCATCCACTTGGACTCTTACTTTTCAGATTGTATCTACTACCACACATGGTACAACACTGCTACTGTTGATCCAACTACCTTAAGTACATAAGCCTTATGATAATACTGATATTGGTGATCAAATGTATTGGAAAATTGAAGTAAAGCTCCTTAGCATGTAATGTCAATAGAAAATGACTGACATGAAGAATAAATGGACTTACTAGCTGTTAACTATCAGCTAATCTCTATACTAAAGAGTTCTATAAGAGTCGACCATAAGGTATTAAAACAAATTACAGTAGATGAAGGAGGGAAATGACCAGTCAAAATAGTGCAAAAAAGTAAATCATGGCTTTATAGGACAGAACAGTTTCTTCTTTACATCTATCCCTAGCCCAGACTTGCTCTCCAAATGTTAGGCATATTCATACTGATACTACTGCTCTGTTACATATATGCTACACTAAACGCAGATGCTAAGGCATATATGATCATTTTGCTGTAAGAGTCTCAGCCAAGGGCCAAAGGGTGATCTCTGCAGTAAAGGACTACTGTTGCCTCAAGAAAGGTGTGGACCTTGTCTAGTTCCCGAGATGTAATCCCTAAGCACTCTGAATGCCCTTTCTATTAGGAGTGGTTTTGTTTACCTGGGGGCCTTGTGCTACGCCAGACATATCATGCACATACATGTGTGGCTAACTGTAAGGTTTATGGTGGAGATCTTGGGTCACACAGTATCAGTTCAACATCTGGGAGCACTGGAAACTAGAGTCAGCCACATGGGCAGTCAGCCTTCTTATATGTTTGTTTTCTGTTTTATCTCTCCACATTCTAACATACCTCTTTTAGATAAAATGAAAAAAAAAAAAATCAAGAATGCATGCAAGTTGAATATTATTAAAATAACCTTACCTGACAAATTTTTTCCCAGATTTCATCACAGCCAGCTTTTTCCTGGAAACTTAGTGCCAGATCATAGTTTTCAGCTTCTGACCAAACAATTAATGTATCCTGTTTAAAAATAAAGATTTCTGTGTCATCACACCAGAATAACTACAAAGTATAAATAAAAATCAAGTGGACAGGAAACAGCAAAGCAACGCCCTCAGATAAGTGCAATTAATGTGCACTCAACTGATACCATATAACTGAATTTTGTTATCCTTTGTAACTTTAGTATTATACTGGCAAAGAAATCATAGCTTTGACACTGAAAGTGTCAGTGAGCAATTTTCTGACACAAAAAGTATTAAGATGTTAGCAGGCTCATGTGACCAAGATAACATTTAATCAAAAGTCTAGCACTCTTGGCCAAAGTATAGTATACACATTCAGATGTCTTTAATTATCTCTCTCCCAAAGGTTATGCTTTTGGGGAAAAACTATCAACTCCCTTATTAAAAACTAAAGTTTGGTTTTAAATTAAAACACAAGCATAAACACTAAAATCATTATGAGAACCTAAACGAAATGGGCTTTTGAAGGATACATAATAATGGAAGTTTAATATGGCTAAAACTTTGAATTTCAAAAAAATGCAACTTGAGCCTATTCCAATTATCAAAACTATAATTTATGAAAACATATTTATTAACTATTCAGTTAACCAGTATTTATAAATATTATAGCCTGATATTAAAAAATATAAAACTAAAAGTGAGCCCCAAATTAATAAAGACAAAATTTTCAAAAATGAAAACATTTCAGTACTTTGGTAGCTCTTACAAGAAAGTAAAAAATATCTTTTAATAAATCTAGGACTCAGATTAACACTTATTTGTTGTATAACCAGGTAAAAAGAACACTGAAAATCTGTGTTCTGGCTTCTTATTGGCCATGCTTCTTGGAAGGGATTATTTTCCATTGTGCTTGTGTGCTAAGTTGCTTCAGCCATGTCCAACTCTTTGCCCATCAGGCTCCTCTGTCCATGGGACCTATAGCCCACCAGGTTCCTCTGTCCATGGGATTCTCCAGGCAAGAACACTGGAGTGGGTTGCCATGCCTCCTCCAAAGGATCTTCCCGACCCAGGGAGTGAACCCCTGTCTCTTTTGTCTCCTGCACTGGCACAAGAGTTCTTTACCGTTAGCACCACCTGGAAAGCCCCTTTATTTGAGCAGGCCACTCTTTGATTTAAAAACCTTTAGTTGCTCCCATGTACAGAAGAGGTTTTGAAATCTTTTTAAAAAATCAAGAGAGCTCGTTTTATAATCAAAATTTTACTAAGAATCTCCATTAAAAAAAATGATAAAAACAAAACTATTCTGGTTAAAGCACTAGGGCACCTGCAGAGGGTCCATGTTCTTTCCTCTGTTCCTGAGTTTCTCAGAGCTCAACAGAAAAACAGCTTCACAAATAGTGATCTCCAAACTTTTAAAAACTGTGCCTCAAATTACTTACATATTATTTAAGGAATATAATATTAGTAGAGCCATACATACTTTATAAAACATTAATTTCATACTAAAACAGAAAGTAAAAGGCTTACATAAAGCTTAAAAAGATAAGTCATATTTTAAAAATATTTAAACTGTAATGGCTCCATATTATTATTACTAAGAATTTTAAGACCCAATATAGTTAGGGCATAGTATATCCACAAATGACAGGAGATACAAATCCATATTTAATGCCATCCTTTTAGTAATTCTGAATTTGGGGGGGAGGGATAACTTTTTATACTATCTATTTTAATCATTGTTTTGGCTTTGTCACTTGGCCAACAGACAGATTACACTAAGAGTGTAAATCAGTTTGACTACTATCTTGTTCACTTGCACTGTCGTTACTGTCTTCAACCCATTTTAAGGCACACACACATTTGTTAGGATTACGTTAGTTGAAAAATATCTGTAAATATTTATCTGCATATACAGGCTATAGCAACTCATAATAGGTGGGGAACAGTCTTCAAGGAAATGTTACTCTTCTCTCAGAAAAGTGAAAATTGCACAATCATGTCTGACTCTGTGAACCCATTCTCCAGGCCAGAATACTGGAGTGGATAGCTTTTCCCTTCTCCAGATCTTCTCAGCCCAGCGATCAAACCCAGGTGTCCTGCATTGCAGGCGGACTCTTTACCAGCTGAGCCACCAGGGGAGCCCAAGAATGCTGGAGTGGGGAGCCTATCCCTTCTCCAGCGGATCTTCCTGACCCAGGAATTGAACAGCAGTCTCCTGGTGGATTCTTTAGAAGTTGAGCTACCAGGGAATCCCCTTCTTCAGAATACCATGCTTATTTTTGATTCTTCACCATGTGACTTCATTAAATATTAGCAAAATTCAACTTTTGATAAACAGGTTTCTTCAATGATTCCTACTGTGCATTCCATTTTGGAGAACACTAGTATAGCAGAATGAATGAAATTCAAAATCCTTTCTTTATCGAGGTATTCAACGCCCCTTCCATTTTGGTTCCAATCTATCCAAGCAAGCAGCAAAGTCTGAATTAAAATGATGCAGTATCTTTCTTCTTAGCCATTTTCTTTTCTTCTTTCTTTCCCATCCTTAACAGTAAACTCTTATCCATAAGCCAATCAAAATCCCAGAAACTAAATAGGATTTATATTCAGAACTGTTTTCAATGCAAAGGGGACTGACCTCTGGAAATGGTAAAAAATATAGATTCCCATGCTTCTCCCCTGGATACAGGTCTGGAGTAAGTCCAAGAATCCTTATTTTTAACAAGGATCTCAGGTAATTCTTTGGATAAGCCAAATTTGAGAACATGACCTAAGTATATCACGAGTTGGTTAATAGAGAAAAGGGAAATGCTGTCAGAGTAGACACCTTCCATCTCTATGTTGTTGTTATTCAGTCAAATGACAAAATCCATTTTTCCTTATCTCTCTCCTCCATATCTTACTGTCTCAGTTAAAAAGTACCCGTTAAGAAGGACTGTTTAGAATTGTTTATTCCAAGGGTCAAAGTTGCTAGGTAAGGAACATATATAGAAAGCTGGCACAAGAATATTTATACCAGAATGAAGTGTCAAATGGCACAGTTTCTTACATACCAAAAAGCCTAAATTGAGTCAAGCCCAATTTTTCATAGCAAAGTTTGTTTTCAATTACTGTCCTTTGTGATCTTTCATTTTTTCCCTAATCAGTGTGTGGCACATGTATCTTTGGGATGTTATTAATGTCTCTGTTTAAATCAAGGAAAGCATAGTTTTCCTCTATTAACTAAAACACTTAATCACCACTATATCCCTATGGAAGTCAGATTTAAAATGAGCTTTAAAATTATATCTGGTCTGATTGTGTAAAAAGAAAGAAGAAAAAATAAAGGTGATTATGTTCAACCCCACCAGGGGAGTAAGATATGAGTGAGAGAAACCTGACAATTCAGCCGCTACTAAATCAGGTTTTCACAATGTAGTTTTATTATGAGAAATAGTTATTTTCAATCTTATATATTAAAAACACATTCTTGAGCCAAATACTGTTTAAATCAGAGGTTCTTAATCCAGAGTCTACAGACACTTTAAAATTTTATCTAAAACCTGATACATAACATCTTTTTTGGGGAAAGGGTCTCCAATTTTTATATATTTGCCAAGAAATCCATGACACATTTTTAAAGGGTCTAACAAACCAATGAATTATGTTTCAGTTCTCTTCCTTGGTACTGATTCACTTCATTAACATGAATAAAATCTACTCAAAATATTTGAGATCCTACTGCTTGCCAGACTAACCCTATCTTTGTTCCCAATGACTTTGACAAAATCGATACAGGAGGAGCCAAAGTTTTTGAAAAGGAATATTAATTTTTTCTTAAAAAGGAAAACAGATTATTAGATTTACAGAATTTAATTAACAGGTTCAAAATCAATGTGAAGCCTGAAATCAGTGAGATTAACCAGAAAATGCAGCATGTAACTCTCTGTTGTTGTTTAGTCACTAATTCCTGTCCAACTCTTTTGTGACTCCATGGACTAGTCTGGCTCCTCTGTGCAGGATTTCCAGGCAAAAATACTAGAGTGGGTTGCCATTTCCTTCTCCAGGGGATCTTCCTGACCCAGGGATTGAACCTGCATCCTTGCTATGGCTGGTGGATTCTTAACCACTGAGTCACCCAGGAAGCCCCTGCAGTTTGTAACAATAGTTGGCCTAAATGCTTTCTGAAATAGATTTTTAAATCTATGCATAGTATTACATATAGTATGGTATAACATATAGTCCAAGACAGACATGATGACACTACTTACAGTAGTACTGTCTTATTGTCTCAAAATCTGATATATTTGGGTACAATGGGAATAACCCTGAACTAGATCGAGGACCCGGCAGCACCACCCACAGTTTCACTGTCTACTATTTTGACGACTTTCAGCAAAGTATTTAACTTTTTTGACTGGAAAAGAGGAAAATGCAGCCTACATAAGGATTATTATAAGATGACCACGAATACAGTTATCTTACTGTGCTTATGTGTGCTTACTGTGCTAAAGCAATTTTCATATATTAATTCAAAACTATTACATGAGTCAGGAAGTATCTCCATTTAAAAATTGAGGTTCAGAGAAAATTTGCTCAAAATCATAAAGATAGAAATAACGGAATTAAAAAGTTAAAGAGTATCCATCAAACTCTAAACCCATGTCTCTATCACTATGCCCCACGAGAAATGTGAACAAATTCTAAAAGACGGCAAAATAAACTTGCTTCCCAATCGTCTCTCCTGTGGCATTATAAGAAACAAGTGAAGTGAAAGTGTTAGTTGCTCAGTTGTGTCCGACTCTCTGTGACCCCAGGAACTGGGGACTGCCAGGATCCTCTGTCCACCGAATTCTCCAGGGAAGAATACTGGAGTGGGTTGCCATTTCCTTCTCCAGAGGATCTTCCCAAACCAGGGATTGAACCTGTATATCTGGCATTGCCAGCAGTTTCTTCGAGCCACCAGTGAAGAAAGGAAATAAAAGAAATAAAAAGGACCCTAAATAAGAAAGACCTCTCCATGTGATATCCAGATTCCTCCTTGTTTCCATTCCAGACCACTACCTAATCACT